GTGCCCCTTGGGAGTCGCGGTCGTGCCTCCGCTACCCCCAAAGAGATCATGTGGAAGTTTCCATCCAAGGGGTTCCCCAAAATGGATGGTTTATAAGGGACATCTTTTTAAAGTGAGTGATTTCGGGTTACCCCCATTTTTACAAACCCCCATGTGTAGGACATATCTGAGGAACCCTGGCCTGGAAATCGGGAACTTCAACGCTGATCTCGGCTCCCGGGGTCATAGCTGTTTGTTTTGCTCCGAAACAGTGCGCGCCTCTGTTCGCAGATGTTGAAACGCATGTTGATGACTGAGTTTCAGACGAAACCAGACGTTCCATGATGTTCTTTGGGGGTTGCAAGTTGGGTAAAAACATCCAGATGACTTCTGAAGGAGATCCAAAGACATCCAGCGAAAGCCATGGTGCAGAGAGGTCACCGTTCGCCGGGCGAGTCGGGTCGTGGCGGTATATATATGTATATGTATATATATATATATGTATACATATATAGATACATATTTATATATACATCTACATATATATACACATTGAAATATATAGATACACAAATATTTACATATCTACAAATATACACATATATATTTAGATGCATCTATATAAATGTCTATATATATATAAATATATGTGTATATATATATATATCTTTACATATATATATATATTTCTAGATACATATATATATATATTTAAAAACATATATATATATATATTCAAATACATATATATATATACATTTAAATATATATATATATTTAGATATATATAGACATTTAAATATATACACATATATATATATTTAGATGCATATATATAAATGTCTACATATATAAATATATATGTGTATATATATATATCTTTACATATATACATATATATATACATATTTATAAATACATATATAAATATATACATATGTATATAAAAATACATATATATATATATACATTTAAATAAATAAATATATACATTAAAATATATATATATATTAATACATTTAAATATATATATATATACATCTATCTAGCTATAAATAAATATAAATATATATATATATATGTGTGTGTGTGTGTGTATCTTGCTTGAATCAGGACATCGGAGTCCATGCCCTCGCCGTTGCCACCACGTGCCATTGCAGAAGGGGATGTCCAAAGGACATGGGAAAAGAACAGGTGGCTCAATGCCGCCCTACAGTCATGGATTCCGCTAACATGCTTTGAGTTTTTTTTTGCGTCAACAGAGGCGAGTTTCAGGATTGAACAGTAGAAGCCAATGGGTTACCATATAGTCATGGGGGTTCTCTCCCAGCTCACGTGGGTTTATATCACGGCTGCATCCGTCAACGGCGAGGGCATGGACTCCGATGTCCTGATTCAAGCAAGATACACACACACATATATATATATAGCTAGATAGATGTATATATATATATTTAAATGTATTAATATATATATATTTTTTTTAATGTATATATTTATTTATTTAAATATATATATATATAAGTATTTTTATATACATATGTATACATATATATATATGTATTTATAAATATATATATATATATGTATATATATATTTAAAGATATATATATACACATATATTTATATATGTAGACATTTATATATATGCATCTAAATATATATATATGTATATTTGTAGATATGTAAATATTTGTGTATCTATTTATTTCAATGTGTATATATATGTATATGTATATATAAATATGTATCTATATATGTATACATATATATACATATACATATATATATATACATATGGATATATATATATATAGATATATATATATACATACATAAATATCTATCTATATATATATACATATACGTAACTATATATATTTTTTCATATATATATGTACTATTATATATATATAGATAGATGTAAATATTTATTTTTATATATACATATAATTACATATATATATATATATAGATAGAAGGTCCTATAACTGTTGCGCGATAGGTACCAAACCCCCATTGTCTTCACCCTGTCTCTAAATGCAGCCATGCCACACACTGGCGCGCATAGCCAGGGCATTCGACCTCAAGGAGCACAAACAGAGAGAGACGGGCACGGTAACGCAGCGAGCAAGATACGAGAAGAGGGGTGAAGGCATGAAGAGGGAGGAAGTGAAGAAGGAGTGGACGGATGGAGCGTGAGGAAGTGAAGAAGGAGCGGACGGAAAAAGGAAACGGAGAAAAAGAAGTAGGAAGGGCGAAAGAGTAGGAGTTGGGGGGCTCTAGGTGCAGATAAGAAGCGACGGTTTGGGGTTGTTCTTCTCCTTGACCACACCGCTATCCTTCACGATCGCAGGCGCCATGAAGCGGAGAAGGGGACGTGTCGAGTGCAAGAGGCAGCGCAACGAGCCACAAACGGCTGTGAAGAAAGACAAAACGGCGTCCAGAAGCTCGGAGACCGATTCACTGGCAGAAAAGGCGCCCAGAAACACATTTAGTAGCCGCAGAAAACGAATTTCAAGACACAAAAAAAGCTGCCGTAGACGAAATTAGAGGCAGAACAAGGTCCCGGAAACGACTTGAGAGGCAAAAATAGCTCCCGGAACCGGTGAGGGGGGCCGGAGGGTGTTGAATTATTATTACTTTTTTTCTTCGAAGGGGGGGGGGGCGGCCAATTATTATTACTTTTTTTCGCGGGGGGGGGGGGGGGGCGGGCAACGATTATGATTTCAAATAATAAGAATTGAACACAAACGGCTGTGAAGAAAGACAAAACGGCGTCCAGAAACTCGGAGACCGATTCACTGGCAGAAAAGGCGCCCAGAAACACATTTAGTAGCCGCAGAAAACGAATTTCAATACACAAAAAAATTGCCGTAGACGAAATTAGTGACAGAACAAGCTCCCGGAAACGACTTGAGAGGCAAAAATAGCTCCCGGAACCGGTGAGGGGGGCCGGAGGGTGTTGAATTATTATTACTTTTTTTCTTCGAAGGGGGGGGGGCGGCCAATTATTATTACTTTTTTTTTTCGCGGGGGGGGGGCGGGCAACGATTATGATTTCAAATAATAATAGTTGAACAACCCCCTCCCCCCCACGGAATCACCAACATGCGTTCGGAAGCGGACTTTAGTGGCAGAAAAAGCTCCCGGAGACTACTTTAAAGGCAGAAAAGGCCCTGGATGGCAACAAAAAGCGCCCGGAAATTTGAATTTAGTGGCAGAAAAGGCTCCCGCAACTAATTTAATGGCAGAAACAGCTCCCAGAGACTAAATTCAGAGCAAAAATAATTCCCGGAAAGGACAGGAAAGCCTCAGAAAACGAATTTCAATGCACGAAAAAGCTGCCGTAAGCTAAATTAGTGGCAGAACAAGCTCCCGGAGACGAATTGAAAGGCAGAAATAGCTCCCGGAACGGGTGACGGGGGCCGGGGGGTGTTGAATTATTATTACTTTTTTTCTTCGGAGGGGGGGGGGGCGGCCAATTAGTATTACTTTTTTTAGTCTACGGATTTTTTTGTGAAGATATATTTAGTTTAGCAGATTTTTTTTGAAGATATATTTAGTCTAAGGATTTTTTTTTAATATGTATTTAGTCTACGGATTTTTTCTTGAAGATATATTTAGTCTACGGATTTTGTTTTGAATCTATATTTAGTCTAGGGATTTTTTTTGAAGATATATTTAGTCTAGGGGATTTTTTTGAAGATATATTTAGTCTAGGGGATTTTTTTTTGTATATATATTTAGTCTAGGGATATTTTTTTTGAAGATATATTTAGTTTAGGGGAACTTTTTTTGAAGATATTTAGTCTAGGTGATTTTTTTTTGGGATATATTTTGATTTTGGAGCTTCAAAAGGCCCAGGGGTCCAGATTTGGCACCAAACCCTGTAAAACAAGCATTTTTTAAAAGGAAAAAATCGATTTTTGAAGGCCCTCGAAAGTTTGATTTTTTGTATGCAATTTTTTTTTTGAAGATATAATTAGTCTAGGGAATTTTTTTGAAGATATATTTAGTCTAGGGAATTTTTTTGAAGATATATTTAGTCTAGGGATTTTTTTTTTGAAGATATATTTAGTCTAGGGATTCTTTTTTGAAGATATATTTAGTCTACAGATTTTGTTTTGAATATATATTTAGTCTACGGATTTTGTTTTGAATATATATTTAGTCTAGGGATTTTTTTTGAAGATATATTTAGTCTAGGGAAAATTTCTTGAAGATATATTTAGTCTAGGGGATTTTTTTTGAATATATATTTAGTCTAGGGTTTTTTTTTTGAAGATATATTTAGTCTAGGGAAACACTAATGGTTATCTCCCGCCCCCCCCCAAAGAAAAAAAAAGTAATAATAATCGCTTGCCCCCCCCCTCCCCTTTAAAAAATGGTTTCGAACGCGGCCTCTATTTATACACATATATTAATATTATAGCGTAATTTACTGATTCCGTTTGAAGCATACAAGATACCTTTAAGACCAGATATCTCACACAGAATTCTGTTCGGAAGACTAGCAATTCTCTGAAGGTGTTGTTGTGGACTTGAGTATGCTATCATGTGGTTTGAAAAAAAGTAGATGTGATGGTGATGAGCTGATCATGTGTTTCCATTTCTGAATTTCGAAAGAACTCGGATTAGTTGCGTAATGCGCAGTAAGAGAGCTTCCGTATGAATCCATGCGATACCATGGAATACCCGTCAAATCAATGGGGGCATAGCTGCGGGCTGCAGGACGTTCTGATGAGCTCCAAAACACGATCCAGCTGAGTTCACACTGAGAAACAGCGTGGAAAAAAACAACGAGCGATTCCAAGCTGCGCAGTGTGAGCACGGTGTGCGGAGAATTGTGAGCCGTTACTCCCTTGCTTTTTCTTTTTTTTCTTCTCCAATTTTTTAATTTGAAGATTTTGAAGTCATTTGCGGAAGTTTCCTCTTTTTTTTTGAGAAACCAGAGTTCAGAAGATCAGAGTTCCTTTTGGGTCACCGTCACCGATTTCGATTTCGTCGATTTCGTGAGGCTCCAAAAGGAGAGCTCCTTGTGGACCAAAGCCGGACGTCCCCAGGCCGAGGCGCGGCGCAGCGCAGTGGCGCAGAGTGAAGGAAACTGAGTCGAGAGTTTTAAACATTTTTAACCAGTTTCAACATGTTTCAATGTTTTTTTCAAAAACAATTTCAATGCAAAAAGTTAAAACGAGGGGACAGAGACGCAGACACAGAGCTCACGTTTCCAGGTGCTTTGGACACTCTCCAAATCTTTGCTGAACTGGAGCCTTGAACGGCCAGAGAAACTGTAAGTAGGACATAAAGAAAAGGACATCTGAGTTTCGATAGTTTCGGACTTTTCCGGATTTTTTTGGACTTGGAAATGGAGATGCTCTGGCGCAGTGTTTTCCCATACTCGTCAGCCAGGCCTTTGCGCAGCCGTGTCCAACACGGTCCACATGAGGCTGAACTTTTCGCATGCAATCGTGCAACCAATGCAAACCTGTTCAAAAGAATCTAAAGTCTTAGTGAGTACACTGATTATCACTGATTGCAAATGTTACGGCTTTCACCAAAGTGGCCACGTCGAGGACTTGAACATTGGAAAGGTTGTGAAGGCTGAGGAGCACTGAGCACGGAGCATTGCCGAGCATTGCCGAGCGTACAGGGCAGATGTTGCTGTATGTTGCTGTCAGTGAGTTGTCAAGTTGTCGAGCTGCAACATGTTGGGATGTTGTATATCATTGTATGATATTGTATGTTGTCACTGTAGCTGCTATGTAGCTGCTACGTAGCTGCTGTAGCTCAGCAAATCTCATTGTACCATATTATGCCAGTGTTCCATGATCCTTCCGTGATCCTTCCATCTCCATTGCATTCCTGCAGGAACTGTCGAACCTGGTAGTGAATGATTTGATCAAGGACACCATGATACACCATGTGTGTTGCACATGGGCTTGGTGAAACCACAAAATTGGGAGTGGATCATAGTCGTTGGATGTCGTTGGCACATGGACAGGAAGCATTGTCAGCAGATGCACGCATTGTCCCTGCTGTTCCTGGGAAGGAAAGCGACATAGTCCCGTAGTCTTATTATGGCAGAAAGCAACAAAAAGCAAACTGATCAGTGTAGTTATGGTCTGCACGGTGATTCTCCATGTCTTTCTCGCCATCGATTCTGATTGGTTTTGCTGTGCCTATCAATGCGTTGAAACCAATGAGGTTCCAGCTGAGATTGGCAATGAGATCGAGGACCTTTGCCCATTTCACAGGGGCTTCGAAGATCACAACCGATCGCGTTCTCATGCTTTGTTAATTGCTTTGTCAATCCGAACTCAATCCCCTGTGCGAATTGCGAATTTTTGTGAACTCAAAAGCTTTTGCAACAGCTGATTCTAACATTTTCTAGCTGCTTTCTAAGCTGCTTTCTAGCTCATTCTAACTTTGTTCGGCACAGGATGATGTTTTAAGCTTGGCAGGGAGCGAGACTGAGCAGGCCCACACAGTGTCCACAGTGGTCACACGTGTTACTCGTGGTTTCGAAGGGAGTCGTTTCAAATGATTATCATGACATTATATGACAAGATGCGACAAGATGTGACAAGAGTCATGACAAGAGTCATGACTTCAGGGTGTAGGTGTATTTGGTGTGGTGCTGACGTGACTTCAGGAAACGGAGTCCGCGGAGTCTGCTTACTTCTCAGATCTCAGTGATCTCAGTGATCTCAGGGTTTTGTCAAGGAATTCTTTCTGAGATGTGCAGTGGATGGCAGTGGCAATCGTTTCCCCAAGGTTGACTTGGCGTCACGAATTGCCAGCCGCGTCGTCCAACAAGGCCTTCATGTTGCTAGAGTCAACGCTTGTTGGAGTCATGGATTCATAGAAACCGTCTTGCCAGCAACATGTTTGAACTTCGAACTATTTCCAACTAGAACAAGAAGCTTCGGAGGCATACAGCTTGATGTTGCGAAGGCAGTTCAGGACGCAGCAAAAGTGCAGACTTGAAAAGCATGTCATCACTGCATTGCTATTCCAGAATGTTTTGGAGCTATTTTGAGCTAAGCTCAACTGCATCTGGATCTGACAGCATTTGGCTGCATCTGATTGCATATCGCAGGATGCCTCTCAAGAGATTTCAGTTCAGGACTTTGAAGAAGTTGAGGGCTTCAGTGAGGACCGCAACGTCAGAGTTAGCGAGTTACCCTTGTCCGTACTTTTGGTCGTCTCAACACCTTTCGAGTGAAGACTGTGAAGACTGTGAAGACTGTGAAGACTGTGAAGACTGTGAAGACGTCTTTAGTATTCAGTGAACTTCTGAGTGTGGCTTCAGGATGAGGAGTCTTTCGAAGAGGCGATTCCGAGCTGCTGACCAGACACAACGAGCAACGCATTGCTCCGCACATTGCTACATTGCTCAGCAGCTTGTTCTCCATGGCCAAAATGGCGAACATTGGATGAACATGGCACGTCATTGAAATTGGATAAATGGGCCAGGTTGACACTGTAAGTGTTCAGCAAGAGAGCTTCGATGCGATGGCAGCTCGTTTGGAGGTCGAACTCCATCTTTCAGACATTTTCAGACTCTATGACTCGACATATTTCGACATATTTCGACGCCGGCATGGCATCACTGTTCTGCAATGTTCTGCAATGTTCTGCATCGAAGGCTCGCCAAACTTTGATCCAAGCAGCGCAGAGTGGAAAGTTGCTTGCGGCCCTGCAAGCAGCTACTGCTAAGACCGCTAAGGTGGGTTCACGGACCTGAGAACCAGAATTATCTCATGAAAATCTATTGGATTCTATCAGAATCTCATCAAAATTGCACATTGTTGCATTTGGATGCATTTGGCCTACTTTGACCCATCATTCCGAACATTTTTCCTCGAGTCAAGTCCCTCTTTCTTTGCACCGTGAGCGCATTACCGTCACACCCTCACAAGGAACCACCAGAATACCAAGAAAACTAAAGGTTTGCTGGGGAACAGCAATTCGAAATTTGAAGATTCGTTTGCCAACAATAAAACCAAAGAGTTCGAAAGTGTGATTCCTGCTGTGACGATGGGACAGGTTGAGGAGGTTGATACCAAGCAGGCTGAAGTGGAGTCCGTCCGTCGTGAGGCTTCGAAGTTGTGCCATGTAATACTGTGCTTGGCTCCAGTCAGCTTCAGACTGCTTCAAACTGTTCCTGCTCCTACTGTTTCAAACTGCTTCAAAGTGCTTCAAACTGCTTCAAAGAATGTTCAGAAGGGCACCATTTTGCGAGGCTCGGGACACGCTGCTGCAAGCTGCCCGCGATGGCCGCTTGGCATCCGCTTTCAAGGAGATGCGCAAGGCGAGTGTTCTACAGTTTGGTTTCATGTGGGTGCCTGGTGTGACTAAGACTAAGACAATTTGATACAATCAAGTACAATCAATTTTTCTTGTCTTCAAGACCAACTGCGTCAATGCCATGCTTTTGGGATAAGGTTTTGTAAGGTTTTGTGTGGTTTGATATGGCTTTTGTATGGTTTGAATCATATCTGGTTTGATGATTCTTCATTTAAGTTCATTTGTCCTCAAGATTTCGAGAGTGGGCTGTTGCAATTCGTCATCACGAAGTTGAAAATAAGACCCAGAACCAACAGAAGGAGAGAGATCATCCTACAGTAAAGGTTCTGTTGGAATTTGGACATGTCTTGAGGGTTCACACATGCGTTGATCCGCAACGCCTAGACAGTTTGTGTCAGGCTGTTTGGGCTATTTGGGGCTATTCCAAAGCGACATTTTGGGAAGTCGAGAAAATGACATCACCCCCCATCTATTCCTCATGTTTCACGAAAGGTAGCGTCAGCTACCTGAGTTCTCCGTGCTTCAGCACAAGCTTAGGGGGTATTGGGGGGCCAGCCCACGGAATTCATGGAATTCTCGCCGTTATGTATTGGATATCAATTATAGGGGGGGAGGGGGGCCCCCCCCCCCGAAAATGGTCATGGGTTCAATTCCCACGGGTGACGCGGTCACGGGCCCCCACATTAGAGGCACACTTTGCATGAGGGAGATGTCCCCGTAGTCCAGCATAATTGGTATGCTTCAGCCTCAATAACAGTTGCTGCAAGGGGTCTTAAAAAGGGGTTTTAAATAAACCCCTTTTCGTGCATCATTTCACGCTGCACAAGACACCGTATCATGCAGTCATGCTCTGGATAAAATCATCTTAGACTGCGCAAAAACGTTTTTGGTGTATCATCTTAGGGGCGCAGCATTTTGACACCACTCCTCTCCCACTACACTACCTTTCGTCCGCCTCCGCCTGCTCTCAAGTAAGATGTAAGCATGCCTTTTTTGTCATTTGCAGATCCTGTTTTTGGCCACGTAAGAGTTCGAAAGTGTGATTCCTGCTGTGACGATGGGACAGGTTGAGGAGGTTGATACCAAGCAGGCTGAAGTGGAGTCCCTCCGTCGTGAGGCTTCGAAGTTGTGCCATGTAATACTGAGCTTGGCTCCAGTCAGCTTCAGACTGCTTCAAACTGTTCCTGCTCCTACTGTTTCTAACTGTTTCAAACTGCTTCAAAGTGCTTCAAACTGCTTCAAAGAATGTTCAGAAGGGCACCATTTTGCGAGGCCCGGGACACGCTGCTGCAAGCTGCCCGCGATGGCCGCTTGGCATCCGCTTTCAAGGAGATGCGCAAGGCGAGTGTTCTACAGTTTGGCTTCATGTGGGTGCCTGGTGTGACTAAGACTAAGACAATTTGATACAATCAAGTACAATCAATTTTTCTTGTCTTCAAGACCAACTGCGTCAATGCCATGCTTTTTGGGATAAGGTTTTGTAAGGTTTTGTGTGGTTTGATATGGCTTTTGTATGGTTTGAATTAAATCTGGTTTGATGATTCTTCATTTAAGTTCATTTGTCCTCAAAATTTCGAGAGTGGGCTGTTGCAATTCGTTATCACGAAGTTGAAAATAAGACCCAGAGAACCAACAGAAGGAGAGACATCATCCTACAGGAAGGGTTCTGTTGGAATTTGGACATGTCTTGAGGGTTCACACATGCGTTGATCCGCAGCGCCTAGACAGTTTGTGTCAGGCTGTTTGGGCTATTTGGGGCTATTCCAAAGCGACATTTTGGGAAGTCGAGAAAATGACATCACCCCCCATCTATTCCTCATGTTGTAAGATGTAAGCATGCCTTTTTTGTCATTTGCAGATCCTGTTTTTGGCCACGTAAGAGTTCGAAAGTGTGATTCCTGCTGTGACGATGGGACAGGTTGAGGAGGTTGATACCAAGCAGGCTGAAGTGGAGTCCCTCCGTCGTGAGGCTTCGAAGTTGTGCCATGTAATACTGTGCTTGGCTCCAGTCAGCTTCAGACTGCTTCAAACTGTTCCTGCTCCTACTGTTTCAAACTGCTTCAAAGTGCTTCAAACTGCTTCAAAGAATGTTCAGAAGGGCACCATTTTGCGAGGCTCGGGACACGCTGCTGCAAGCTGCCCGCGATGGCCGCTTGGCATCCGCTTTCAAGGAGATGCGCAAGGCGAGTGTTCTACAGTTTGGCTTCATGTGGGTGCCTGGTGTGACTAAGACTAAGACAATTTGATACAATCAAGTACAATCAATTTTTCTTGTCTTCAAGACCAACTGCGTCAATGCCATGCTTTTTGGGATAAGGTTTTGTAAGGTTTTGTGTGGTTTGATATGGCTTTTGTATGGTTTGAATCATATCTGGATTGATGATTCTTCATTTAAGTTCATTTGTCCTCAAGATTTCGAGAGTGGGCTGTTGCAAGATGTTGTAAGCATGCCTTTATTTGTCATTTGCAGATCCTGTTTTTGGCCACGTAAGAGTTCGAAAGTGTGATTCCTGCTGTGACGATGGGACAGGTTGAGGAGGTTGATACCAAGCAGGCTGAAGTGGAGTCCCTCCGTCGTGAGGCTTCGAAGTTGTGCCATGTAATACTGTGCTTGGCTCCAGTCAGCTTCAGACTGCTTCAAACTGTTCCTGCTCCTACTGTTTCTAACTGTTTCAAAGTGCTTCAAAGTGCTTCAAACTGCTTCTAAGAATGTTCAGAAGGGCACCATTTTGCGAGGCCCGGGACACGCTGCTGCAAGCTGCCCGCGATGGCCGCTTGGCATCCGCTTTCAAGGAGATGCGCAAGGCGAGTGTTCTACAGTTTGGCTTCATGTGGGTGCCTGGTGTGACTAAGACTAAGACAATTTGATACAATCAAGTACAATCAATTTTTCTTGTCTTCAAGACCAACTGCGTCAATGCCATGCTTTTTGGGATAAGGCTTTGTAAGGTTTTGTGTGGTTTGATATGGCTTTTGTATGGTTTGAATCATATCTGGATTGATGATTCTTCATTTAAGTTCATTTGTCCTCAAGATTTCGAGAGTGGGCTGTTGCAAGATGTTGTAAGCATGCCTTTATTTGTCATTTGCAGATCCTGTTTTTGGCCACGTAAGAGTTCGAAAGTGTGATTCCTGCTGTGACGATGGGACAGGTTGAGGAGGTTGATACCAAGCAGGCTGAAGTGGAGTCCCTCCGTCGTGAGGCTTCGAAGTTGTGCCATGTAATACTGTGCTTGGCTCCAGTCAGCTTCAGACTGCTTCAAACTGTTCCTGCTCCTACTGTTTCTAACTGTTTCAAAGTGCTTCAAAGTGCTTCAAACTGCTTCTAAGAATGTTCAGAAGGGCACCATTTTGCGAGGCCCGGGACACGCTGCTGCAAGCTGCCCGCGATGGCCGCTTGGCATCCGCTTTCAAGGAGATGCGCAAGGCGAGTGTTCTACAGTTTGGCTTCATGTGGGTGCCTGGTGTGACTAAGACTAAGACAATTTGATACAATCAAGTACAATCAATTTTTCTTGTCTTCAAGACCAACTGCGTCAATGCCATGCTTTTTGGGATAAGGTTTTGTAAGGTTTTGTGTGGTTTGATATGGCTTTTGTATGGTTTGAATCATATCTGGTTTGATGATTCTTCATTTAAGTTCATTTGTCCTCAAGATTTCGAGAGTGGGCTGTTGCAAGATGTTGTAAGCATGCCTTTTTTGTCATTTGCAGATCCTGTTTTTGGCCCCGTAAGAGTTCGAAATGATTCCTGCTGTGACGATGGGACAGGTTGAGGAGGTTGATACCAAGCAGGCTGAAGTGGAGTCCCTCCGTCGTGAGGCTGCGAAGTTGTGCCATGTAATACTGTGCTTGGCTCCAGTCAGCTTCAGACTGCTTCAAACTGTTCCTGCTCCTACTGTTTCTAACTGTTTCAAAGTGCTTCAAAGTGCTTCAAACTGCTTCTAAGAATGTTCAGAAGGGCACCATTTTGCGAGGCCCGGGACGCGCTGCTGCAAGCTGCCCGCAATGGCCGCTTGGCATCCGCTTTCAGGCAAGTCAAGGAGGCCGGGTCCTGTATTTTTTCGGTGTTTGTTTGGTGTATGCAGTGACAGTGTATGTGTCTTGGACCGCCTGGAAGTTAGACTCAGAGGTTTGGTGATCTTTCAACTTACCAACGTTTTCATTGTTGTCATCTTCCGGTTGGCATTGTTTGTCTTTTCGCACGTGCTTATATTGTGGAGTGCAGGCAGACAAGATTGAGGCACTTCGCCAGCAGGCAGGAAGGGTATTGTATTGTATCAAACTTTGCGTCCCAGACTTTGCAGGCGATGACTGATGCATTCAGTAATGGCAAATAAATAAAGAGAAGTAAGTATACAAGTTGTATATATAATATATATATATAACACAATCAATCAATATCTACTGTACACATTTTTTTACATCGATATATTGGGAGGTCCAGCCATCGAATGCCTTAGTCTGACCATCACTATTGATTGAGCCTGTGGCAGATAATTGTGATTTTCTCGCGCGTCTTGCCGGACAGGGATAGGATGAACATCCTAAAAGCACAAACGATTGTCAAGCTGCCAAATGTAGGTTGCTGTAATTTCATGTCTCGCTCTTTACGTGTTCTTTTTCTTCTTGATTTTGTCTCAATTCCCTTTTACTTTGTGTTTCTTGCAAACTCACCCAGACTCAGACTAAAGCTATTTGCAAGCTCTTTTCAATTCATTCTCAAGTCACATCCCTCCCAAATTTGTTCATACAATTTGCATCCTTCTCTCAAATCCCTCCTTCTCACTCTCTATCTCTCTATCTCTCTATCTCTCTATCTCTCTCTTCCTTTTTCATCCTTTTTGTTCTGTGAGGCTCGGGATGCCTTGCTGAAAGCCACTGCTGATGGTCGATTGACAGCAGCTTTGCTGCAGTCCAAGGCCAGGACACTCCCGGTAGACTGCAGAGAGATATGATGTGCAGCGATTTAGACTCTCAGATCTGGAAATTTTGATCCTTCTAGTACCAAATGTTACTAAATCTTCGCAGTGTATTTACGTATACTGTCTGTATCCATATCAGGATTTGCCTTCCTTGGGTTCTTTCAACCCACCTTTGTGCTGAGAGCCTGTTTTCGTGGATAGTTGCAAGGTTGAGCCCAAGAGCATCGACGCAGCCGAGACAGAGGACTTATGCAACTCATGCATACTTGTGCCATCTTGTGCCGATGGTCAGAGTGTTGGAGTCTCTTCGGTGTGGGTTTCTGCGTTTTGCATCAAGTTCTATCAGATTCTCCTGCCGTCGGTTTCTTGTCCTTTTTCTCTCTTTTTCTCTCTTTTGGAGCCTTTTTTTCTTTTTTTCTTTTTTTTTTTCTTTTTTTTCTTTTTGTATATGTTTTTGCACGTTCTCTTTGCGGCCTGGAGCTGCTCCGCGCGACACTCCTTGAGGACAGCGTTGCTGCACCAATGGAAACGGAACCGTCCTTGGAAGAAGCACGTGAAAAGGTCGCAAGCTCAAGCAGCGCACAGATATCTTGGCACATTGACATTCACATCTCATTTGGCATGTACTAGCCATCCAGCAGCAAGGGTCTGGGGTTCTGCTCAGGTTAGAAAATCAAATAAGTACTTTCTTCGGGAATTTCCATCTTAAATCCAATGAAACTTTAAAGTACGTTTTGAGTCAGGGCCTTTTCCAAATCAACCGAATTGTTTTTATTTCCCACTTTGTGTCAATAATGCACATGCTTGAATTTTGCGGCTGTTGGTTGGAAAACCATATTTTTCTAACAGACTTCTTCGAATAAATGCACCAGGGACGCTTTGCATGGAGGAAAAACAGCTCAAAGATATGCTGCATGTTGCATGTTTGCAGGAATTGCAGGCCTCGTTAATAGGATGTGGCATTTGTCAATATGATGCATTTTCTTTAGGGAACAACGGGGCATACTGCCTTTTGGAACAATCGAGCATTTTGGGAGTGGGAACACTGCTTGCTTTGCTTTCTAGTTATAGTGCTGATTTTTTCCCCAACGAGATGTTGAATTCTATTCGTAACCACTGCATTTGAAAGCAATGCCTTGAAGGCGTACCAACATATTGTGAATATGACAAGAGCTCAAAAGGTGAGTACGTTAATGTTGGGACTTTGGGCATTATGGGTGCCTTTACTTGGGTGCATCTTGAGGATTTTATAAATCTCCTGGCTTTCCTAAATTGGTATTTTTAAAGTGACAACAAAAACTCCAATTATGCATGGGCCAAATCTCAGGTCCTAAACCATTTGCAAGCAGCAACATGAAGCAATTTATCATTTAGCGTACAGACATGTGGCGACATGTGCCAAACAACCAAGAGATGTCAGCAGCTGTCAGCACTTCTTATTTAACCATGTAGATAGATACCTACACATATCATATGTTCACATGTCCTTGGAAAAATGTATGTAGTATCTATGTTTGCATTGTACAACTTAGAGTCTAGAGACTTGCTGTGAGGCTCGATCTGCACTGCTCAACACGCTGAAGACTGGTGACTTTCAGAAAGCAATGCAAGAGATTGTCGAGAAGCGTCAGACACAGGTGGGAAGCCTGTCCAGAATGATTCTGTACTCTGCAACTACCAAAGCTGTGAAGTTCTCATTGGTTTGTTTGTACGAACAGATTTGTTCCTTGTACAGTCACTACCGTCGTCCTTGTATTGGAAAAAAACAAGGTTTTGAGTTTCATACATTTTCATACTGCAGTTACTACATATCACTTCACCTGCGACAGTGCGCAGGCACTTTCGGCAGAGTCTGGCTCTAAGACTCTAAGACCTTTCGGAGGGCACAGTGGGGCACATGGTTTTACAGTTTCACCATGTTTCACCTTTGAAAATCAGGGACGAGTCTTACCTGCTGGCACTGCTGGGCGTCTTTACACAAGAAGTGATTTGGCTCTGTCCCAGGCAACCTACACAGATGGAGGCCTTCACACAAAGACAGATTGAAACGAGAAATGCAAGACAACATTCACAAACTGCAACATAGTGACGAACATTGACATGAAAATTGACATGTTTGGTTCATCTTGGTTCATTACGTTTGATTTGCTTGTGAAGGACCTGTGAAGGACCTGTGAAGGAACTCATTGGAGCGTCTTGACGCAGGTGCCGCCTTCCGAGACTGTCGAGTGGCATCAGTTGCATGCTCAGACTTGTCTCCGACAGCAATGAGTGACAACGGCAACTCTGCACGATACTGCAGATTTTCTAGAGCGCAATGGAAAACACGGAGAAACAAAATAAAGAAGCTGTATACCATTCTTGTTCAACTCTTTCAATCTCTTGCTAATTGGCAGCATTTCTTCCGTTCAAAGGCCTTTGCAAGAGTCCGCTGTTTTCAAGATGTCGGGATCTTTGGGAATCGCGACAGTTTGATACAAGAAAGTGTGTCTGAGTGAGATTGAGCATGAGCACAGGCCCGGCCGAACCAAGAGACGCATCATCGGTGGCGTTGTTCGAGCACCATCCGAAGCAGTTCCCGTTGCAAGCTTGGAACATCTTGGAACATCTTGGAACATCTTGGAACTGGAACTCCAACTCTCCGCATATCTCCGCATTTTGAAGTTCAGAAAAGGTTCGAGGCATCCGGGGGCATCCGGCATCGGTACTGTATCTGAAGCGACAGCGAAAGGATGTGCTGTACCGAGGTGGATCCCTTGCCACCGCCTGCAGCGTTGCTGGCTGAGGGACGCAATGGAAATGGACGAAATGGACGAAATAGACACGAGGTCCTTGCGAGGTCCTTCCATGTCCTTGCGATGCTTGCGATGCTTGCGATGCCTTGATGCGTTGGTCGCGAGGTCAAAGCTTGCTTGGTTTATGGCCAGAGACCAAGAGACACTGCGAGAATCTGCGAGATGTGAGAAGTCCAAGACACAAAGTCACCAGGGCCAGGTGATCTCACAGTTAGACAGATCATGACAGATCTCATTGAGAGGCTGGTCCTGTTTCCAATGGCCTACGCCAGAAGGACTTCCCCATCTTCCCCGTTTTTTGCCTTCTGTGGAACAGTTGTGGAACAGTTGTGGAACCGTTTGTTCAGCTGCTTCCGTCAGGATGTGGCAACTTTTCAAATGGACGATGGGCTGGATACCGAGAATCGTGGTGGGGGCCTCGTTCAGTGCCTTGATTTGTGCAGTTTGTTGAAAGGCCGTTCCAGTTTCCTGGTGATAGACAGTAGAAGCGTTTTTTCTTGCATTTTGTTGTTGTTAATGAATTTTGAAGCCCACAAGTATTCCCTGTTTGCGACTGTTTTCCATACTCCTCATGCCAGCAATGCTCAACAGAACATAGTTGTGGAGGGTTCTGGTAGCTTCATGATGCTTCATGTAATTCTCTGGCAGCTTCTGACGCGTAGCGCATGTCAGGCCTTACGCGAAAATCCAGCCTCACCTCAATGCAGGAGCCTCAGGAGAATTCTGAGAGAATTGAGGCGATGCATCCGACGGCATCTGACAGCAATGGGTCACAGAACGTCACAGAACGTCACACGACAGTCTTGACGTTTGACCTAAAGTTTATCAAACTGTTTATTAAAAGACATTTTTCATTTTTCATCATTTAAAAAAAAAACAGTTTTTCCATTTCTCAGGTTTGAAGCACTTGGTTCTGCTCAGCTGATTCACATGGATGCTGACGATGAGCAGACTCATCAGGCACGGGGCTATTCTGTTTTTTTTTTTTTCACAGGGTTTCGGAAAGAGCTGATGCCAAATTGCGATCGGCATTGAGCATGTTTCAGAAACATCTTGATCTCATCTGATTTCCACTGATTCTTAAATTGTTTATTTTTTTATATTATTTTATTTTATTCTTTTGTCGTCATGTTTGGTCTTGTTTTACTGTATGAATCTGTATGAGCTATGACTCGGCTATGACAGCTATGATTCACATGTGATCTCTGGTTCCAAGGTGACATCAATGAGGCGGGGCAGAATGAAACGGCTTCACGGCCAAAGATCAAAAAGATCAACACAATGGCAATTGTTGACCAATTAAGTGGACCAATTAGTTGGACCAATTGGACAAATTAGGCTAATTATTGGCTAATTCATAACTAATTCATTTCTTGTTGATTCTTTAGCACTCTTGTGCATTTGTATGCATTTGTGACGTTTGCCAAGTTCCAACTGATAGCTGCTCCCTGAGAGTCAGACTTCTTTGCTTCTCTTTCCACTGACAGGCTTTCTTCAAGTTGCACGAACCTCAAACCTCAAGGTGCAGCACAAAATCTCACCTCAAGATGTGCACTGAATGATGTGGCGGACGTGAGTTGAATTTCAGGAGAGGCTGTTTAGCCAAGTCCATACCGTACAGTAGATCCATTCCTTGCCGTAGAGCATCCGTTGAGCATCCCTCGATCTGTTGATGATCCATCGTACCACTCGTTGTGTATGATTCGTTGTACCATGACTCGAAGGCCTGAAGCCTGGCATGACCAGCTCTATCCTTAAGACAATTTAAGACATCTCAAGCTGTTTTCAGTGTTTGGCGTTGAGAAATGCACTTCTACTTCTTGCAATTCAGGAAATCTTGGGTTCGAAGATTTGAATGATTTTGACAAAGTTTTCAGAGCTTAAAATGCCTTGAACAATTTCAAGTGTCTGGCAGTTTGGCACAGGTTCAGCTTCTGCCATGGCTTTGGACTTGGGACTGGATCTTGGTGCGAAGGACACCTTGTGACATGGTCAGAACTTGTGGCACCGGAGAGCCAGAGCATGAAAAGTATGGAAAACTACAGGATCATCAGATTATCACGTAGAATTACAGTATCACTTTTTGAAGTTGCTAGTAGTTGCTCAAACAAATCATATTATCCATCAAATGGTCTCAGTGTTGCACATGGCTTGGCTGGTTTTCCTTGAAATTCACAGCGAATCTGCTGAACAGCGGTCACGAAGAGAGAAACACAGGAAATTTATAGAACTCTTTACAAAGGTGTTCATTATTCTTCCAAACATTTCCAACCATTCAACCTTTCACATCTTGGAGGACCGAATTGGAACTCCTTCGATGGGTTCTCGCTGCTCTTCAGTGGAGACCTCAAGCCGATTTACTCTGATTTGTTAAATTCTATTTGAAAATTGCAGTCGCTTGGCTTCTGCTTTTTCCAAAGTGAAGCAACCCTTGACAACAGAATTCAAGCTCATTGTGGTTACAATTGTTGAGCAAAACAAGAGCAAATCTGGGATGAACAAGTCTGAACAAGTGCAATGTGCAATGTATTTTGTGTTCGCATGGCTTTTGACAAGTGTAGCTGAGCATTCAGAGTTTGATGTTATCCAAAAGAGAAGGTAGGTGGTGTGACAAATCCTGCAATGGTGCAGGTCGGTTCTTTGCGCGCTCTCAAGGCGAACAAGGCAGAGTCCTTGCAGAGTCCTTGTGAGACCAACAGAGTGTGACATTTCTGCACTTTTCGATCTTTTCTAGACCATTTTTATCCTTTTTTATCCTTTTTTATCCTTTATTCATCTTTATGTATTGTTTCTATTTGTTTCTTTCTCCACTTGCCACGGGTCTCTAGATTTTCTGTCAGTTGTCTTCCTCCTCTCCCTCCCTGTCCTCTTCTTGCCTCGCATGCTCCCCTCTCCGGACCTCTGCCTTTTCAGCTGGACCTCAAACATGTCAGAATGCATGCTACAATGCTAGAGATAAATGTTGGAACAATTTTGAACATATGTCAGACAATGTACATATGTCAAAGCTTTCTTAGGGTGGAGATCACCCTAAGTGGATCGTTTAATTGTACAATATTATATAAATATAACATGATAGAAGTAAAACTAAGTAAACATAAAATGATACACAGCACATAAGAAAATGTGTTTAGGAGAAAGCCTTGAACTGTCTTGAAGCCTCGCTCGCTGTGGCCAACTAGGCAAAGCCTCTGCCCTTCCTCCAGAAGCCCGGCTCAAGGGCTGACTGGTCCATTAGCAACGCGTCAGTCATGTCGGTGCCTAAGTTGTATCTCAAAAAACAACCGGTACAGATGTTGAGTTCAACATACTTTCAACCGCAAGACCAAACAAATCCAAACAGATGTCGTACTGTGACTGTGGGAATCCAGGAAGACAACAAAAGAATGGAGCACTGGCACCATGGCCGCTTTTTAGCGACTCGTCCGGACTTGGCGTGAGGGTCGAACAGATCGGTTGTTCCAAGTCGCTACATGTAGTCGTTATAGCCTATAACGATCATCTGTAGTGAACATTGGTTCGATCACATTATGATCACTGCATTGCTACATGATCAGCCTTACAGAGTGATGCGACCGTTTCTGGCTCAGAGCGACGAGGTGGTGTCCTTGCTTCGCATTTTCCGGGTGCCTAAGCGTCAAATTCTGCCAAGCTGTGTGTTGAACCTCGTGATGTGGAGCAGTACACAGAGTTGAGATGTGTGATACAATTCCAAATTTGTCAACGATTTCAACACCAAACAAAACACTCATTTGGATTCATTTAGGAGCTTAAGTGGCTTAAGTGGCTTAAGTGGCTTAAGTGGCTTAAATGGCTTAAGTTTGACTAAGGAAATGCCAGGGATTCGGCAACACGTGCGCCTTGCGGCTGTGAGGCGGATGTTCATCCCACATATGCCCACCCTGGCCCCGGTTTCAGGTACGGCCCAAGGCCAATGCAAGGCCTGACCTTGACAGCTTGGATTTGATGTTTTTTTTTTTTTCAGAATCAAGTTAATTGATGTTAATTGATGTTAATTGATGTTAATTGATGTTAATTGAATCATCTGGAGGTGATACCCGACATGTATAACCTCACTTCTTGTTCGCAAATCGCAAGATATGGCAAGAGACCATGGACTTTACTTCAGAAAGGGGTTGTCGCAAGGTGACTGTGTGCCTGGCACAACCCAATGTCAGAGCCTGAAATTAACGACCAAAATCAGCAAAGATGTTGCGGGCATCTCACAACTGCGGGGCGACATGTTTTAGATTTTTGGCCTTTGGATGACTTTGGATGAGACTTTGAGACTGCCATGACATTGCGGACATTGCGTCCTTTCCATCCTTTGATTTCTTTGATGCAGACTGGAAGAGACTGGAAGAGACTCTTTTTTTTGACTTGAGCAGTTTTGAGTCTTTAAGTTGCTGGATGGTACTTGACTCATTGGGCTCACAGATGCCCACTGTCCTGCATGGTCTCCTTTGATACAAGATGCTGAGCTGCAGTTTAGCAGTTGATAACGGTTGCCTCTGCTTCGGCATGAAGTGTTACTTCACACAGTGCAGCACAGAAGCCATGAAAAAAACATGAAAGACCTAGGACCGATTCGGAACGATTCACTGGACAGCAAACCGAGAGCTTCGAGAGCTTCGAGAGCTTCGAGCGATGGCGATCCTTAACGTCGAAAACCAAAAATGGACTCGATAAATCTGTGATAAAGAGAGAACATTTGTTTATTTAAATCTATTTAAATCTCAGATAGGACTCGAAAGAGAGAAAAGAAAGACGTCGCCACGTCGCCACGGGGTATATATCATGGCCAAGACAAAAGAGACTACCTTGAATGCCACTTGAATGCCACCCTTTGAATATAGGCCTGAACGGGGTTTGTGTCTATCGCGCTTCTGCTCTCCCTCCAAGTGCGTGTAATCTACAAGTAAGGCCCTTTCGGTCCCTTTCGCTTTTCGCAGTTTATTTTCGAAATTGACGATTCTTGAGTACTTGTCTCGTGTTAGGTTTCAGGAACCATGGACAAGATCTTAAGTGCCTATCTCCAGTAGATAGGAGAGACACGGCTGCGTTCTCTTTTCGAGGACAGATGACAAAGATGGTCTTTCTGACGAATCCAAGGGAGTCACCCATGGTTCTGCGCTTAGCAAAGCTTGACGTCACTAGTTGTCCCTTGGCGGACTTGCACGGATTCTCTTGCATGGACACCTATGGAAGGATCTCAAGTGAGGTGAAGTGATCCGAGATTATCAACCTGCACCTGGTGCGAAGCTTTGCTGAAAATAAGATATCAGGGAGAACTTCAAAATAACGTCAGAAAAGTTTCTTCTTCAGCTGATGGCAAATGCAGAGACATGAGCAGAATATACAGATTTGCACTAGATTTGCTATGATTTGCTGATGGCTGCAGCGGCTTCTGCGGGTTCTTACCTGGCAACGAGTCCGTTGATTTTCGGAATCGGTTTGAAAATTTGTTGTTGCCACATCTCCCAGTCTTTTCATGATTGCTTGTGCCAAACGTTTGTGGGAACACCTGGCTATGTGGGATCTATGCTGGTGTTGTATGGTGGAATTTGATTCTGTGCTCTGGGCTTTTAATTTGCAGAAGTGGGAAATGTTCCTGGGACTCTTCTCCTCTTGCGATGATAAGGAAATGGCGGTCTGGTCGGCCAGATTATGCAACTTGTTATGGGGAAGAAGAGATGAACTCTCCACGTAGACATGCTTTTTGTACAGTGCTTTTCGAGCCATCTGCATCGACGCAAGCTCTGAGGCCGCTGTTAACAAGTTATACTTTGAGCACCGAGTAATGAATCACGCGGAGGGGTCTTTGGAGGCATTGATCCAGAAGAGTCTCGATTGCAATAAGCTCAACAAGCCGAAAAACAAACGAAAAGCAGAGCAAAAAGCAAGCTGGGCTAGTCGTCAAGAAGGCCTCTGTAGAAGGTAAAGGAGGCGACCAAAATACCAAGATAGACTTTATCTATCACAAGCATTTTGCTAGGCTTCTGCAAGATTACTGCAGGTATGCAAATTGTGACTGGCTGAGCTTAGACAACATATTTGTACCCATATGTTTTCCTTGGTGTCGAAACCCTCAACTATAGCTGTACCTTGAGATATGATGGTAGCAGTTTCACGAAATCTGCGAGCGAACACATTGAGGTTCATGAAAAATTGGGATGCCGCTTTGCCGCGATTGGAACGTGGCAAAATGGGACCCTTCGAGATCTTGCTGTTTAGAACAAATTGAAGTTTGCAATGTTTGCAACTGCACCAGTCCCACCTTGTCCCAATTGGTTCTGGAGTTTGCCAAGGTTGAGTGCCGCCACATTGCCAGCACACATCAGTGGCAAACCATGGACGTCAGCAAATTCAAGGCCAGAGCAAGAGCAGAGCTGCACAGCGCGATGCGGCCACAACTCCAGCAGTGACAGTGAACAATGCGAAAAGGTGAACAACTCAATGGTTTGTGCAACATGGTCAACATATGTCAACATGCTTTTCATATCTTTTCATATTTCACATTTTCCTATATTATATCTTCTCGTGTCAATACGAGTGTACTAACATGACCATGACTCTTTGGCAGACGCATTCAACAAGTGTTTCAACATGTTTCAACATTACATTGAATGTCTTCAGAGCAGACACAGCAGGAGAGAGAGAGGCAAATCCTTGGCACGACAATTACATCAGACAGTTTGACATTTTTTGAATTTTCGGTTTTGAATTTCCCCCTCCGTCTCCTCAAAGACCAGCGAAACCATTGTGTTCACAACGCTGAATTGGCCTAAGCTTTGATAGCCTTGGGATACTATCAACATGTTCGGCGGTAGGCCTTTCTTACCAGGTCTTGACGCTTTACACATTGCAACATGTGGCAAATCCATGTAAATTTGCTGGTGCATAGGTGCCTTCTGTTCAGAATGGCAACCACATCCTCACTGGCAAAATGAAATTCTCGAAGCAAAACAAACAGATATGAAATTTCGCATTGGATTGTTTTGGCATCAGCACTGAACCTTGTCGCACCGGTGAATCACAATGACACAACCCAATTGCATCATATTACAGTACATCATCATATTACATCGATGACAAGACGCATGGCATAATATGTGGAATATGTGCACACTGCAGGGTTTCTCTGGATTTCTCTGTTCCCAAGAGAGCCCGCTTCAGGCCGCTTTGAATGGTGGCTGCCCTTTCAATGCACAGCTGCTGTCAGACATGAGTCACGCAAATGTGTTGACACTTTCGCTGAAGAGATGCCATTACGAGTTTTTATATAGTGGCATAAATGTGCAACATGCGATTCTTGTGATTCATGCGATTGAGTCTGAAAGTCTGAATCTCAACGTTTCCCGAGGATTGGAGAGACTCCAGAGTATTCAGCGACGGTGCCCTTGAATCATTTGGAGTCACGAAAGTTAGCTTGCTCAAAATCATTTGCTAGTTTAGTTCGCTTTGCTTTCGCAAACGTATCGGGGTAGAGTCGGCGCTCAACGATTCAAAGCCTCTACATTGACTCTACATTCAAATACCGTAATGGTGAAATCTGGAAGGGCGGAGACGCCCAATATTTAAAGGCCCCTCCCCTGCCCTTTTGGATGATGAAGTTTTGGAAGGTGTTGTGTGCTTTGTGCGTGGTGCCTTTGATGCCTGCAGTGGCACAAGATGTGGTAGGTCCTGGTAGGTCTCAGTCGCCTAATCTCCGCACCTGCAACATCCTGCAATGTTCCACACTCTCGGCTTCAACTTTACCATTTAAAAGTTCTGCATCAAAATGGGAGCTAAATCAGGATTTCTCACGCTTACGCTTCTTATATTGCATCCTTGACAGAATAAGACAAGATCCGTGCTGAAGTGGCTCAAGTCTGCTAAGTCTAGCGGCTCACACTTAATAGCATGGGAGGTGATAGATTGAAGCACAGTATGGCATAGACTCTCCTTATCCTTTCCAAGACATTATTACAATGCACGGCGGCCAATCATATCATATCTCAATAGAATTGATTTCTGAAAGTTCACTTGCCAAGAAAAGCTGTACGCCTTCCCATGCTTGTTCCCTTTCTTGGCTTGAGTTCTAGGTCACCTTGAATCATCTTGAATCAGTTTGATTTTCAGTGTGGGTCACTTGCGATTTTCAGGCAAGCAGTGCCGAAGCAGGAATGAAGAATTTTGGAGCTGCCTTTCCTGAAGGACCCTGCACATGTCTTTGACTTTGCGTGTGGGCCTTTAGATCTTTGACTTCTTTTTTCAAATGAGTTTTGACAGGTTTGGACTCTGGACAGGTTTGGAGGCGCTTTCCCTTTCTTTGGACTACGGTTCTTCCTTTTTGCTCGAAGCTGATGTGAAGATACAGGATCTGCATTCACATCTTCCCACTTTTGCGCAGGATTTGCATGGGAGGTGCTCGAAGTGTTTTCCGGTCCACCAAATGCGACTTATTTGAAGAGTGCGGGAAATTCATAAGAGATCCGCTCTAAAACGCTTATAAGGATTTTTTAAATCCGAAGGCCAGAAATGCTTGGGCAGGGATGTATTTCAGATTTTGTTAGAAGGCGGAGTCCTGTATATATGCAGCAAAATCGCTTTCCTGCATCTTAGCGCTAGATTTGCGCTAGCGTAGCGCTAGATACTTTTACATAGCCATTCAAGTGAAACGTAGTCAGGCCCGATGCTTTCTTTCCCTCCAGCTTGCATAAATTCTTCACTCATGTGTAAGGTCTGTTGGGACAATTGAACTTTAAAGGCGGAGTCCTGTAAATACGCAGTGAAGGTGATTTTCGTAGAGAAGACCTCTAATAAAGAACCCAATAACTGCAACTGTGTGTCAGTGCTTTGCTCAGGTGACCTTTAAGTGGAGACACTTCGGGAAAATGACCGGCACCTTCAAAGACAAGCATGGCAAGGACACGATTTGCCACATTTTGTCACTGTCTCTATCACTTTCTCTACCCCCATGCCTTTGAGGTCCCTTTGGGAACTTGTGTCCCCTGGATCCCAGACAAAGGATCACGAAGGATCATGAAGCGCCGTGAGCTTTGCGCGGAGTGTTGCTTCTGCTTCTGACTGTAGGAGCACAAGGGAAATGGGGAGATGCTGAACATCATTGGCCTTTGCATTGCCAAGGCTTTCCAGAACTCTAAACCAACTCTTCATGTTTGAAGTTACCGTGCTTTGTCCCGTGATTGGAATGTAACGAACGGTGCAGAGATTTGAATGGAAGTAGACCCAAAAGCGGGGTTGAGTCTGACTTGTGTGTTGGACTTGTGGGTTCGGGGGCAACCTGCAGATCTGCGTGATCTGTGGATTTTTGCAGGTATCTGAAGACCTGAAGATTGAATCTGTGGACGTGTACTATAATCCAAATGTCTCTTGCCAAGAATTCGACTTTCCGAGACAAGCATTCCAGAGACCCAGAGACAGGACTTGAGTAAGTTGATGAAACGAATCTGACGATGATCTCCTCGATGTTAGTCACCAGGTTTGACATCACGATGTCACGACATGTCACGACATGTCACGACATGTCACGACATGTCACGACATGTCACGACATGTCACGACATGTCACGACATGTCACGACATCACGTTACGAAGGAGCATCATGACGTGCTGCGACATGTTACAAAAACCGTTGCGTCATTTTGTTCATTTTGTTCATTTTGTTCAATGTGCGCCAGAGATGAGGATTTAGTGAGACCGTTGGCGACCTGAGCCACTGAGAGCTGCAAGCTGCGAGCCGTGAGCGGCTCAGTTCCCGCCGTGCGGGCGCCTTCCAAAGTGAAGCCGACGCGGAGCGGACGTGCAGCGGACAAGGCGTCAAGGCGTCAAGGCGTCAAGGCGCCAAGGCGCCAAGGATTCATGAGGATTGTGCGTCTTCAGAGAAATCGGCCACAGACTGAACAAAGATTACACATGATTAGACTAAGTTACACTCAGTGTATCGCACATGCACGAAATGAGGGTTGCCAATGCGCAGCGCTGTTTCACCTCGAGATCAGATGTGAAAATAGTCTGAGTTCATAGTGTCATAGTGTGTGTCTAACGCCTATGCGAAGACTGGGTTTTAAGACCGGATCTGAGTTCAGGCAATGTCAGATGCAAAGGACCAGGAAGAAGAAATCACATCAGGAAGGTTTCGCAAGGATGAAAGGCTGAGCGAATATCGATGAATCAACAATAAAAAGATGTCAAATGTATCAGAATGTAATTGAATGTAATTGAATGTAGATTTTTAATGATGCAACATGATGCAGTATTATATGGATGTGTCGTGGTACCAGTTTGGTGATATTTCTTGTCCCGCTGAGGTGCTGCGAGGGAGCACCACATGGTGCAAGTGCTTTCGATGTTTTGTCCTATTTTGATCATTTTGTACTTTGAAACTTTTTTTGGCCAATTCAAAGTACTTTCGCGTCCTCTGTTGGCCAGGGGCTTCCGTGAAAACTAGGAACGTTCAGACGACACAAAATGGCACCCTCAAACCTCTCCCATAGTTTTGATCATTTTCTCCCACTGTCTCCTGGGACCAGTGCTGTTTTCCAGCTGTGTGCCGTCCTTATTTTCGGGCTGACAACGCCCTGGCCCAACAGTCTTCAACAGAGATCAGATTTCGTTTGGCTTTTCGCAGCCCTTGCATGTCGAGTTCAGAGTGACCGACTGCATGTTGGCAGATCAGTGTCTCACCATGCGACCATTGCACTTCCGATGCAGTGCCGATGGAGCAACTTTTCACTTTTGCATCGACTTCGCGCCTGAGCCGAAAGCCCAACCACTCAATCTGTTAAGATGAGATAAGACAAGAGAAGACGAGACAAGACGAGCAAATGCAAACGACTCATCAGAGAACCTGTGGCAGGTTGGCCTGTCGTCTCGTTTGCGATGCTTTGTGTATCAACGAAGTGCATCATCGCGACCGCTAAGCCTCTTTGTGGCTCTGAGCTTGGCAGTTTCTTTTGCAAATCTATGCCGCAATGCCTTTTGAACATCATGGAAGAGCGTACGATTGGGTGAATCAGTTTTACATGAATACACTACATATATAATATAGTGTATGTATATATGTATATATATATATATCATATATCATATATCTATTATTTATATATATTCTGTATATATCAGTATATATAATATGTATATTGGGTAGCAACTTACAGCCTTTGTTGCAGCAACGCAAGATGCCTTGGTGAAACACTTAGATTTGAAGTGGTCAGGTAGGATGTCCATGTGTTGGTCACCTTCCGCCATGGAAACGCCGTGGGCATGAGCTTCTTCTCCCAAAGAACTGCCCGCTCAAGAAATAAGTGTCAGGACGGCTCTCTGGAATAGCAAGCTCGAATTGTTGTCTACACCACGATACTGTGCACTGAATATCACATTGGATATTGAAACACGCATACGCCTTTCATGTACTTCAGACAATAGACACCTCAGCAGTTTGAACATCGCCTCTTCTTGGATCAACTTGCTCAACTGTAGATTACTGTTAATATTGTGAGATCTTATGAGCTTATTTGCACCAGAAACAAGTGCTACCAGTGCTACCAGTGCTACCTCTCTGACAGGTTTTTGTTATTTATTTTAGATAAAACCATTTTGTCCTTCAAGGAAAAAAACGCCACATGGATTTTGACTGGATTCAAAATTTTGACTGGATTCAAAATTATATCTGATTCCACTGATGTGCTGTGTTGTTTCAAGTATAACAACATATTGCGATTCAGCGACCCTTGTGTCTCCTGTTGTCGCAGAAGTTGATGTCTCCTGAATGTCAGGATTTCTGAATTCGTCCCACCCCACTATTTGCAGCTCAGCAACGAGAGCGCATGCATTTTCAAGCAACCATTCCTTCATTGTCAAAAGTACCTGTACCTTAAAGTGCTCCAAAAATCCACATTGATTTCTAGATCAAATTTGTATCAAAGTTATATACAAAATCAATGATAATATTATATTACAAGTCAGTTTCATTCGATTTCAAGATTTGAAAGATCTGAAAGACACCAATCGAAACAAATCTACCGATGTAATGTCATAATGAGTCATTACTGTGTCGAATGTCGAATTCCGCCCTGCAGGAGAAGTTCCTCCAGCCGGAGGATGTAGAATGTGACTTGTGTGACTTCGGCACAGAGTCAGAGAAAAACGAAGAAAGACGCGACAGAGAGAAAGACGAGAAAGATCGAGAAAGGAGCGAGAGAGCCGATTCACGATGTGCGAAGGAAGCTGACGCGAAGGCGAAGGCATTGCAGGAAACAAAGCACGAGAACCAAACACGGAAAGATCATAACCAAAAGCACGCTGCCACATTTCGTGAAGATCGTCCCGATCGTGGCGAGCCCGGAGCAAATGCAAATGGAGCCAATGTCTCTGCCCTGACAGACTCCATCGATGCCATTGACAATCCAATTGGCTTGCTGCACCCCGAGATTCCATTCATTCCATGTCATTCCATGTCATTCCAGAATATTCCAGAATATTCCACACGCTAATGATATCTAATTATATATATTGTTTAGCGAGATGTCACAAGCACAAAGGACTTCCAGGAGGTCTTCCAGGAAAGATATCTCTTGAAGCTTTTTGAGATTCAATTAGATTGAAGTGGTTTGGACAGTTTGGACACTTTGGACTTTTAGATGACTTTTGGACTTTTGGACTTTTGGACCTGAATTATGAATTTTTGTTCATTTTTTGAATCTTTTGTTCATTTTGGGACCTTTAAGAGCCTTTTGTATTGCTAAGGCAGAATCTGGTTGCCAGACATTTATGTCGCCCAGTCGTGAAGGCCGTCGCCTGGAGTCGAGTTCCGAGTTCCTTCCTGAGGTTTTCTCCGACTTTTCTCCTTTCTTCGATCGGGATATGTCTCGGAATGTCTCGGATATGTAGATATCTTAGAAAGGATCGATATTGTATGATATTGTAAAAGTATTGTAAACAATGCTAGATTCTGCTTTAAATTGCTTTAAACTGCTTTAAGGATCTTGAAGGGTTCCATGACTGGAGAATTTCATGTCATCGCCCTTGATTTGACTAGATTCTTTTGGTAGACTGCGATGTTGTGGTGCAAGAGTGGACAGTTGGCCTTTCCAGAAAGCGGTCATGTGAATGTGCCCAATGTAATGCCATTGGGAAATCTAATAGAGGGTCTCAACTAGTCTCAACGATTTAAAAGTCATCAGCAGCCATCAACAATCCTAGTGGTCCGAAATTTGCTCATGCTGAACTGGCAGCTCTGCGCCCAGGGCTAGTTTGTTTCTGTAACTTGCTCAAGACCCCACAGTGACCTTGCCAATTCTGTAGCCTCATTAAGGAGCTTGGCGGGCAGCTAGCCTCGTTACTGAGGTTTCCAGTCTATTGAAACCTGTGGAGGTTGTTTATCTCAGAACCTCCTTAAGGAGGCTGGCGACCAGCCAGCCCAGTTAGCGAGGTTCCGAACCTTCAAACCCCGAACATCATGCTTTCCAGTTTTGGTTAAACATGAGTCAGCCGACTAGTGTTTGCTTGTAAAGCTTCCTTATCCAATATTGTCTGGGGTATTTCGTTGGCCCTGTTCATGCCACCTTTGAAAGCAGACTCGACGCAACATGACGTGAATCCTACCTACCTGGCATAGGTTCTCTCATGTTCTCTCCATATTCTGTCTAGATTCTGGAGGCCCAGTCGATTCTGTTGAGCACCCTGCAATGGACGTTGTGGCATTCTCTGCGGAGTTTTTGGAGAGAACCTCCCATCATCGAATCTTATATGTCATGACAACATGCGATGTGCAGACCCTCTTATGGCATGACTGTACGACATGTTTTTTGGCTATGACGTAATCGTAGAATATCTTAGATATAATTCTGCCACAAACTGTTTGCTGCTTGGAAATTTGGCATCTGTGGATTTCTGGCAAATGTACCAAGGCAGGCGCACCATCACAGGCATGCAGCACCGCGCAATGCTTTCAAGAAATTACACCACATGGGCTGGTCAAAAACAGAGTCGACTAAACCAGCCCCCCTCTGCATTCTATCTACATCCTTCGTGACAAAGCTCAAAAAAAATAAGTCCGACTAACAACCAAACTCGACAGAACTGCAAGAACAGAGGGAAAGACACTTCAACTTTGGGTCCGCTTCAGACCAAAGATGCCCTTCCCACCTAAAATTACATTTGCATTCAATACTGTCTCCACAATTACTTTAATCATCAGCTGGACCCTCTTACTCCTTCAAGCACGATGTGGTAGGATTTGGTTATTGTTCCAAGACAGGCGAAGGAGCAGTCTCTGCAGGGCTGCAGCAAAATGATCTGCAACAAAATTGAAAATAATCTTTTTGTCATTGCTGTAATCGGCTGTAATGCCACTGTATTTGTTTATTTTGTTTATCGTTGCGTATTTTTGCGCATCGCTGCGTTGTCGTCGTCGCCGCTGTGGCTGGTGCCTTGTCCTTACATGTCCTTACCCTGTCATCAGGGGGACGTCGAGTATGCCTTTGAGCAGTTGGACAGTGGAAGCTTCGTTGCAAGCGTCTCAGTGGCAGCTCTGGAGCCTATCGCCGGTTATCCCGAGCTGAAGAAGGCCGATTGGGGAAGATCGGGGGAGATCGGGGAAGCAGGGTGGCCGGGCCAACAGCTCGAGCAATAGAAGGCCCTTGGAAAGGCTGTTGCAGGTTGCGTTACCCCCGATGGATCGTGTGTCACAGAAGGTTCGTTGCTCACGAGAGCCATTCAAAATAGACCGTTGATGGGTTCACAAAGGGGGTTATACTACCTGGATCTACCTGGCTTATTTGGCTTATGATGTACCAGAACAGAACTACCCATTCACCGACCAGTATAATTTGATGGGATACTGAGATACTTCCTTTTTTCGTTCCTCACACAAGGTTTGTGGGTCGTTTGTGCATGTTAAGACCACACGTCTGTGCACGTTGAGCTTTGCTCCTCTACGGAAGTTGCCATTCTTGTCTGTGCACGTTCCAAATCATTGCTGCAAACAGTGAAACATTTGTTTGAACGTGTTTTGTCTTTGACCATGCATTTTCGTGGTGATATTAACGGATACGAATGGTGATATCGATGGGGATACTTTTTTGAACAAAGCGATAAGGGTAGATGATGGTAGATGGAGGATCATCCTGCAGTCGCTTACCTTGGTCGATGAGGCACAATCATCACAAGAGCTTCGGTTTTCGCAGACTTCCCAAAGGGTTGCCATTGTGGTGGTCTGGTGGTGGTCATAGCTGGTAGAACCCAGCCACTCTTCCCTGGCCCCAGCCCACCCCATGTAGCGATGTGGTTCCTAAGATATGTCGAGTAGCGATAACTGCTGGTAGAAGTGTTCTGTTTGGTGGTTGTATGTGTGTTGAGTGTGTTGTGTGGGCGGTTGAGAGTTTTGATGTGCAACGAGTGGATCTCCAATGTATGCGGATAAGTCGCTTTCAATGTGCGCGGATGATTTGTTGATTGCTAATATCATCAATCAAGTCAAGAACCAATACTCACCCTTTGGAATGCCTCCGCATAATGCCACGTAGGATTCTGTTTCACAAGACATCCTCCATGGAAGTTTGTAGAGAAATTCCGACGTATGAATTGATTAAATGGCCGCCACCAAGAGCTCGTTCAAGAGAAGGATGAGCAGCGGGAAAATGTATGCAGGCAGTATTCTATTGTCTTGTGTCTCATACTGGAGTGGTTGAGTCTTGTTGGAGTTTTGTCCGATCCCGGAGTATTCTATTGTCTTGTGTCTCATACTGGAGTGGCTGAGTCTTGTTGGAGTTTTGTCCGATCCCGGAACAGTTTCCCAACTGGAGACTGAAGTATTTTGAAGACCCGTTTTTCCTTGACTTATCCTTGACTTGCCAATTGCCCCAAGACATTCTGAAGGAATTCTTTGTTCATTGGACATTGCTTTGCAGATGCAGAATGTTGCTGACAGTGTGCAGGCGAGTGCAAAGAAGTCTGCAGCCAGGGAGGCTTTGGTTTACTTTGAGCAATTTGAGCACTTTCAGGCCGACGGCGCGTCGAATCTTTCGACGAACAGAATGCAAGTGGAATCCGGTGGACCCCGGGGTGGACCCCCGGGGTAACCGCTACCCAGAAATTCATACACTTTGGCAGCGTTTAGCGTTTGGCAGCGTTTGGCAGCGTTTGGCATGCTTGTTGTCAGGATTTAGAGAAAGTCGCTATATCGAAGCAAAGAACCGGCAAAGCAGGCATGGCAAAGTGCTTTTCTTTTCGAAAGAATGCAGACGCAAAGCTGACTGGTGAGAGGTTTTCATTGCCATAGACAGGGTCAGGAAAATCACTGTTCAAACGGGATTTTGCCAACGAGCTCACGAAAGCACTGCAGGTGGTCTTGATGAGGTGCAGGAATCTTCTGTTGCAGTCAGTGAAGTTTGAAGATCCTGACATCTCCTGACTACAGTCCTGTTCGGTCTTCCAATCCACTGCGCTCTAAGGAAATGGCGCGTCGCAAGGAGCCAAACAATAAGATACATTCGACACAGTCAACTGAGTCAACTGTACACAGAGAAGTCTCGAATGGGGACAATCGAGAGAAACAAAATCAAAGAAGTCACCACTCCGCCGGGCATGTCGGACACTCGATCGGACACTCGATCGGACAGCCGATCGGACAGCCGATCGGACACTCCGCCAAAGTCCTCAAAGCCAAAGGTGCCTCAGGCGCCTCGGGCCGTCGAGCCGTTGGGCCGTCGTTCATGCCAAGCTACGACAAATCTCGAACATATATGAACATATCTTGTCATGCTCTCATCACGTTGTCATCACGTTGTCATCATGTTGTCATCATGTTGTCACGGCTTGTGCCGAAATTCATGTAGGTAAAAGTGGATGTCATTAGCGGCCGACACACTGGAGTGTTTTGAGCGCACTGAGATCCATTTATTGTACGCCCCTAATCTCAAAGTCATCTTGGGTCAACCACTGTCTATAGATGGAAAGCATCGGAAAGCTGCCTTGAGTCTGCTCATGGCTGTGCTGCTGTGCTGCATACCTGCAGTATCCAGCATGTTGTTACAAGGATGCAAGTGAAGATATAGGATACAGATGTTAATACAGAAAGCAGAAATATGTTTTAGCTCTTCTGTCATATAATTACTGGATACAGGTGCTCTTACATTCTTGCAAGAAGGCTGTTTCGGCTAAGTGGATGCTGTGCATTTTATGCACTTGATTGTGGTTAAAGATTGAAAGATAGTTTTCTATTGAGATTCTATTGAAATTTTCTATTGTGTTTTCATGCGTTGCAGATATTGGAGAGCTGCGCTGCGCCTTTTCTTTTGGCCAAGTTCGGCCGTCAAAGAGTCCAGCCAGGTGAAGCCAGCTTCCTGGAGCCTGAAGACGCCAAAGGAAAAAGGCACGGATAGAAAAAAGAGTTACCGGAAGTTTTTCCGAAAAAAGACAAATTGAAAATCTGCTGAATAGAACTGAATATGTCACTAGTCACTAACATGTCTGAATATGCTGTTTGATGCTCTTTGTGTATGGTTGCTTCTGCGTCAATTCCAATTCCAATTCACTCAACAACTTTTAGCATCTTTTACCTCATGTGCGTGGAGTGGAGATTTTAATGCAGCGCACGAGTACCTTTGGAGAGTTTGGACTTTCCAGGGCTTGATGCTCTGCATGCTCCTTGTTGAAAGCCCTGCTCTAGACTTTAGACATCTTTAGACATCTGCTTGACATACTAGACAGATCTAGACAGGCAAACAGCCTCGCGATCCGAAAAAAAAGCGAAGGTCTCAAAAGCCCAAGCTCCTCGGATGTGATATGGGTCCCATATGATGTGATATGTGGATACAGTGGATACAGTGGATACAGTGGATACAGTGGATACAATATAAAATGATTGTACAGATGAGCCAACTTTCTGACATTGAGGTAAAGATCTTCCAGAAGCTAGGCGTATCCGTAGCGAATCCGGTAGGCGGGATGTTTTGATGATTGATTCAGGGAGGCTGTGCATGCTGCTGTCAGGCTGTCAGTGCATGCTTTGTGTCACGCACACTGTGCACTTTTCCCATCTTTTCCCAGCTGTACAGGTGTACTCAATGAAAAGATTGCAGCAATTGTCCGGAGACAGGTGACGCAGGATGACGTACCTTGGCTGCAGGATGCAAGCAGTGTTCAAGCAGTGTTCAAGCAGTGTTCAAGCAGTGTTCAAGCAGTGGTCACATGGAGTTGGCTGACCTACTGATGCACGGATGAAGCATGAAGTAGCATGAAGTAGAATGAAGTAGAATGAACGAAGTGCACAGAGACATGATGCTTAGATATCCTACAGCTTTGAGACTGTCGGGCAGCAGTTCACGTGCACAGACTCTCGACCGCAGAGCAAGCCTTTGCCATGGAGATACCGAGAGTGGTTTGCAGCACGAGCTACATGAGCAAATGTCTTGCTGAGTGCTGAGTCTTGCTGCGTGTTTGCTTTGCATGTTTGCCTGTTTGCTCCATTCGGAGAATGCCTCAGGTGTCAGTTGACCTCGAGTCACTGGGAATTGGTCAAGAAGTGTTGCAAGCATCTAGCGAGCCTGTCGCCAACAAGCGTGAGGCCTCTCGTTTTGGATGAGTATGATGTGAGTTTTCAATGTTTTTTGATCGCAGTGAACAGATCATGAGCTGAGAAACAAGTCTTTCCTTTATATAATATTGATATTACCTGCAACTTCTTTTGTACACGCCTTGCTTTGGATCTGATGATCTGATGCCTTTGCTCCAGCTTGCCTTTGCATTTCCTTTGCATTTCCTTTGCTTTCCCTTTGCTGCTTTGTGATCTTGGTGATGCTATGTGCTTTTCCTTTGGGATGCTTTGACTCGCTCGTGTATCCCTTTGTCGCCGCCAAGGCAAAGATTCTTGCTGCTGATGCGCTTCTTTCCTCCGACGTGTCGGACTTCCAGCTACCAAGGTGAAGTCGAAAGTGGAACATCTCGGAACATCTCAGAAGAGTTGAAAAGGTTTGTGACAAATCACAGCCGCACAGTGACTTCACGACTTCACGGGTCATTTTAAACATTTTGTTTGTCATTTGTCCCATTTGCCTCACTAACTTTGGTTCCACACATTGCACAGCTGGAGGAATCAGCAAACCCATCTTGAACCCGTCGAAGCTGTCGAAGCTGTCGAAGCCGAAGCCATGTCACTGCTGTACGAAATAGTGCAGCTTTTACTCAGGACTGTTTCAGCTCACTTTCTCTGTGATGTATTTTCATTGCAGATAGCAGTGAGATGCAGTGACGGTTTGTAACGGTTTGTAGTTATTCAAAGTTGTTCAGAGTTTTTCATTTTGCACAGCCTGCAAGCCTTTTGCACAGCCTGTGGATTTGACAGGCGAGATCCAACTGAGGATGACATCATCTACACGGTGGAGGAGTTTTTCTTTTTCCAAAGCAGATTGCTCATGCTTGTCTTAGGAGGGGTTCCAGCAGATTCAGGTTATAGCATGTTATAGCACGTTTGAGACTCCATATACTTTAAACATCTTGAAACCGTGCATAATGTGCACATAACCTGCGGATAATGTGCATATATTCATGTCCATTCACTGCGAACTCCTTGTGCCACAGGAGCTGGAGGAAGGTTTTGTTGCGACAGTGAAAATTCCCATCATGCAGCGGTTGCCAGCGTGTCAGGGAGAAGTAGCAGCAACCAGGTGCCGAATCGCCGTTTAGCTGTTCAACATCTTGCAGCAAAAATAGCTGTTTCTAGCTGTTTTCAGATTATAATTTCTTTTTTTCCGATTTTGTCCTTGAGCTGGGTGCGAGGACAGAGGCAAAGACTCTGGCAGCCGAAGCAGCCTTGCTCTCCATCCGCGAAGCTTGATGTGAGAGGCCGACAAGACTTTGACGACTTTGACTTGGGTCAACCACAGCCTACCAGAGTGAATCACACTGCGTTTGGTCGGCATCTCTGAGGCATTTCCGAGACATGGGACAGCGATGTGCTCGCGAAGCCAAAATGACGCATTTTGCATCGGTTTTGCATATCGGGCGGATCTTTGGGGATAGAGTCTGAGGTGTAGAGTTACTCTTGGATGTTTGGCCAAAGTGTGAAGTCGTGAAGCGAGTCTTCAAAATCAAAACCAAACAATGTGCGAACATGTGAGCTCCATTGAGCTCCTGCAAATATTCATGCAGTGTGACCGCCCGCAGGTCCCATATCAGTAGAACTGCGAACACGCTGTTCAGAACTCATTCCGAAGCTCAGTTGGCGTTTCAGAAGAATCTGAATCTGAAAGAAAGCTTAAGGGAGCTTCCCGGAGTCAAAACTGAGTTCCAATAAAGTGATGACTTTGATGACTTTGATGACTTAATTGGAAGACACTGAGAGATTGCCCGCAGAGCCAAGGGAACCAAATGGCAAAGCTGTGGAGTGACTCAGCGGACTCGTAGACTCGTCGCAGACATGAGTGTCACTGTGGATGCTGCTTTGCTCGGCTAACACAGCGAGGAAGGCAGGAAGAGATCGCGGATGTGAAATGTGGCGCCGAGAAGAATACAGAGACAAAAAAAAGTAAAAGAAAGGCCAGCCCTGCAACGCTACTTCGGCAAGACAGTGTTAGAAACTATCCAAATTCACCTGACCATCTAAATCAATCAGCATTGCCTAATTACATCTACCTTTACCCCGCCTGTGACTTCGCGGTGTCTCGTCTGTCCGAAGCTGCTGTCTTTGAGGAGAGGCCTCTCACCAGCTGCAAGGGAAATCGAAGTTTTTTTTTGATTCCACCTTGTACAATCCTTGTACCACAGGCTGGAAGGCAATGGAAGGCATGGTTCCGTTTCAGGGTTTTGATCTTCTTGTTTTGTTTGTCGAAATGCAGCCATTTCACCCCATTCGCAAGTAGTGTCAGATAAAGACACCCAATATGTCCAACATTGAAAGCCATGAAAAATGGAATGCTGATTCGCTGTTCGGACATATTTGAACGTCAGGTTCTCGAGTCTTCAAATTGCAATTGAATGCCAAGACTTTTCACGTGACTGCATTCCAATATTGCTGGATTCAGGTCTAGCTTGCTAGGCCACTCAAAATTGAGTTCCTTGAAGCTGATCATCAACTGATCATCTACTCAGGATTTCTATCCGTCGCATTGCGTCGCTTCTTTCACAACTTTGCCTTTTGGTTGATGAAACGTCACAGCGCCGGTGCTCGCTGCTGGCCGGTGGCCGTGTGCCATGGCGTGGCGTCTTTGCTCGATTGAACTCGACTCGAGATGAATGGCAGGTGATTCAGAGGCAGGACATACTGTGGCAAATAAGTTAAATGCCACACAAAAGCCAGTGGAAACTTGCAGAAGCATGCCCGAAGAAATGTGCATTTGCAGACATAACGTGGCCGGATGTGAGTATGCAATTTTGGCAAGATTCCCAAGGAGCATCGAGTACTAATTGAGCAAAGCAATAAGGCAACAAGACAATGTTACTTCAAGTTCCTTCCAGCACGCCTCACAATCTAACTTACAGATACTAACACAAAGTTACATACTTGCAGATAGTTGCAGATACATGATGAGTATCATACTGCATACTTACTTACAGATTGTTACACATAGTTACAGATAATTGCATTTTGTTACAGATAGATAATTACAGATATATACTTAAAGATACTGACAGATACTTACAGTATAGGCATCAACTAAGGCATTCTGAAGTCTTCTGCCTATAGATTCAGCATGATTCAGCATTGCTGGCATTGCCGGCATGGCTTTGATGAGGCCAGCAACATTCGGGTGGCTGTTCGCTGTCGGCCCTTCAGTGCACGTGAACAGTCAGAGGCAGGAGAGCGGTTTTGAATGTTTTGAGCCCAATGACATCCGATTAACCCGATGACCTATATTGCGGTAGATTGCGGTAGATCAGAGTGGATCCTTTCCAGTAACCTTGCCTGCTTGGCTATGAGATGATCTGAGTTGCGAGTTGATATAAGTTGATTTTGTTTCCAAATGTATTCAGCCAGATTGTATCACATCGTCATTCTTTTGGGAAGCATTCTGATTCCATGGCAGTCAACATTTGTCCGCAAGTTTAGTGAAGCAAGCCGAATGATACTTGTCAGGGCGAAGCAAAGAATGCTCTCGCCTGCACAAACAATGCTGTTCAGGCTTTGGAGTGTCCGATTTGCTTTTAATCAGCCTTCAGATTGGCTTTCAAGAACATGTACCGTATGATTTCATGGGAATTTCATAGGAATTCGGGCTTGGTGTGATTTACCTCACCGAGCACTCCTATCCAAGGTGTTGGAGTCGACAAGGACTGCACGAGCCAATTCGTGATGACAAATACGATCAAATACTGCACTACACTGCACTACACTGCACAATCACTACAAAATTGGACTCACACGACCTGGTCGCAAATAAGCCACAGCAAAGCTGTCAGGATGCCCAAGTCCTTCACCTATGACCACGTGTTTGGATGTTCGGATTCACAAGAGGCGCAAGATTTTGTACACAGATGGACGGTGTTTTGTGAGTTTTCACCGTGGTACAACAAAGTGACAAGATGTGACAAGATGTGACAAGATGTGACAAGTGCATCAACTTGTTTTGGTTGCACCGGTTGCATCAACTTAGTGGATCTGTCGGTTCTGTCGAGGCAATCTTTGAGGCCATCGGTCTCCACCTTTTGGACAATGCCATGAACGCGTGCCTCGGTTTTGACGTGTTTGACAAAGGCCAGAATCCTGTTACCATTTTGGATATTTTGGTCACTATTTTCATCCCTTTTCATCCCTTTTCTCTATTTCTCTCTATTTCTCTCTATTTCTCTGTATTTCTCTCAGTTTCTGGCAAATGAACTCTTTCCTACTCCTTTCTTTTAGACACATAGAAAGTGAAGATTGATACTGAAGAACCTCTTTTGGTCAGTGCTCTCGATAGGGGGCCCTCGAATGCCTCGATTCCTACTTTTGTGTAGGTCATGCAGTCATTGCAGTCATTGCAGTCATTGCAGTCATTGCAGTCATTGCAGTCATTGCAGTCATTGCAGTCATGGAGCAAAGCTGAGCAAAGCTGAGCAAAGCTCAGCTCCGACAGATTTGATCACAATCCGACCAACCCATTTCGAGCTTGAAAGGGACCGATTTGGCAGGTACAATGGCTGCATTTTCGCCTATGGTCAAACTGGCTCTGGAAAAAGCCATTCCATCATGGGTGATGTTCAGAATGAGGCAGGAAACAGCTCAACCAAGATCTAACAGTTGCAGCAATTGCAGCAAAGAACATCTTCCGTATGATCAACGCTCTCACGCTTCAGTTTGTAAGACTGAGCATGAAACGCAGACGCTTTCCATTTCAGGCAGAACAGGGTATCTTACCCCGTGCTTGTACACGGCTCTTTAGCAGAATCCAGGCTCGCTTTGGGACAGGCCGATTCACATAGCATCATCTGTTCGACTGTGTGGTTTGTCCAAAGCCCAACAATTCTATGCCACTTGATCAAGCCCAAAACGGGCGTGCTGAAATGTTGTGAGGTCTCAAGTCTGTCCATTGTTTCTCTGGTCCCTCGAGGGTTGCACGAAGCTAACACAGTCTGGTCCCTTTTGACCCTTTTATATCCTTTTATCTGAAATTGGTGTAAGTGGCATGGTCGGCTTTTTGTTTGGACAAACAGGTTCCTGATGTTTCTGGAACCTGAACTGCTTGCAGAGCATCCATGATTCTGTGGTCTGTATGACAATGACGTCTTTATGCTTCTTGAGTTCGAGGAAGCTCGGCAAGAAGAAAGCGGCTTCGAGGCCAGTTTCAAATAGTTTCAAATCACAAAGGAGAATAGGCCGTGGATGAAAGGAACAGAGCATGCCGACAGTGGGCATAGAAACAGATCATTTGTCATTCGGCAACCATTTCCTAAGGAAGGCCTCTTTTCACTCTCTCTCTCTCTCTATATTATATATATTGTATCTATATGGTTTCCTTGTCAGTCAGGAATTATTCCGACCGACAGCTTGAGGAGATCCGATCATGACATGCTCGCACCGTCGCACTTTAAGTTGTGCAAAGTGGATAAAAGTGGACAGCTTGGCGTTTCTGTGAGGCGACGGTTTTGGCAAGTTACCTCGAGATCTACAACGAGAAGATTTATGACTTGCTGACAGGTACGCACAAAGCAAGTGGCACAAATCAAGCTACTGTAACGTATCTAGCATACTGCATACTCAGCACTGCTCATGCAATGCCTCATTGTATGTTTATTGTGACCCAGGTAGGTCCTGTGCACAGCTGCTGACACCCATGCTGTGCAGTTGGCGAGGGAGCTTTTGCTTTCCAGGTGGTGATGCTGGTGAACTGCAAGTGTGTCAATCCTAGTCCCAGCCTGGATGCCACTTGCGGCATGCGTTGTCGACTGGATGATTTCGCCCAAAATCTGAGTTCTGTCCGTGTCCAAGGAGAAATCACCCGGATTTGGGACCCATCGTTCCTCACTTGACCGAGTGTCCAGTGGAAAGTTTCGAGGAGGCTCGAAGTGCCTCCAAAACAGAACACTTTCGTGTGCAGAGTCACACAGGGATTCCCTGTTGATTCCCTGTGGATTCCATACAGGTTCCACATGGATTCAGGGGGCTGCGAGGCGCACGAACTCCTCGACTTCGGTGCAAAGCGTCGTGCTGTGGGTGCCACTCAAATGAATGCGACATCTTCCAGGCCCAGTTTGGAAAGCAACGGCTTCCAACTTTGGAAAGCTGCAAGTGGTCCTCAATAGATCGTACAGTTGAATTATCACGAAAGCTAGCGGTAGCTAGCTGAGTTACTCTTGCTTCAGCAAGGGGAGGGGCAGGTCTGAGTCCAACACCGTGATTTTTCACTTGAACCCCCCCCTCCCTCCCCCCAAGCTCCCGGGGCATTTTGAAGCAGTCTCGGAAGCAGATGGTCACGGGCTCAAATCCTGCCAGGGCCGTACCTTTGCAACTCTCTAGCTCAGGATTTGTTGAGTTTATGTGCTGTCCAGTTGATGCCCGTACATTGGCCTCCGTACATTCTTTCTGACTCAGGTCAACACTGTGTAGATTTGAGCCTAATTTTCGATGGGGCCCAAGAATTATAGAGTCACCATCTTCTTTGGTTCAAATGAACCTCTTCCGCCAGATGCCTCCCCAGAACATTGGCTTCCATACGTTCTTTCTGACTCCGGTCAACACAGTGTAGATTTGGGCCCCATCAAAAATTCTAATTTTCGATGGGGCTTAGGCTTAAACTTTGTAGAGTCACCATCTTCTTTGGTTTACATGTTATACAACTTGCAACAGACAATTACTTGTTGTTCGGATGAACCTCTTCCCCAAGATGCCTCACCAGAACACTGGCCTCCGTAAGTTTTTCCTGACTCAGGTCAACACTGTAGATTTGAGCCCCATCGAAAATTATAATTTTGGATGGGCCCAAACTTTGTAGAGTCACCATCTTCTTTGGTTTACATGTTGTACGACTTGCAACAGACGATTACTTGTTGTTCGGATGAACTTCTCCCCCAAGATGCCTCACCAGAACATTGGCCTCCGTACGTTCTTTCTGACTCAGGTCAACACTGTGTAGATTTGCCCCCCATCAAAAAATACAATTTTGGATGGGGCCCAAACTTTGTCCCCTACAAAGAGCTTCTAACAGTTTGGCAGTGGGCCCAATAGAATTCTTTGTAGCTCGGGTCACCGGTGATTTCGGTCCCATCAAACACGCTTCTGGATAGGGACCCAACTTCTTCCAGAACCCATATTCTTTGCTTCGCATGTTCTACGAATGCAGCCTAAACTTTACACCTCTTCTTTGCGACCATCTTGACTCCTTCCCTCTGGATCCGTGTCGTCTACCCTTCCCTGCATGTTTGCAACTTTAACTCACCTGTTTCCACATTCATATGACCTTTAGCTTTCGTTCACCCCCCCGGGCCTCAAGTGCTGATATGATGGCCATGATACGTAGCATCCAGACGTTTATGCTCAGTGAACCTGATTCTTCAAAAAATTACATTACTATGTATATTACATTATACTATGTTATGTATATATTGTTTATATACATGCATATATATGTTCTAGGTTCTAGGCCCCCCAACCCATGGTCATGATACCCTGGTATAACCCCCCCTCCCTCCTGTGGTGTGGTGTGTAGGTGGAATTACATATAGATATGCCAACCATACTAACCAGGCACATATCACGCGTTAGTCGAATATAGCAATGAAATGGTCAGCATGTAGAGGAAACATGTAGGCAGGGACCATACCACAGGGAACCTTACCACTGGGGGGACCATACCACTGGGGGGGGCTAGCAAACCGGGGACCGGGATCATATACATATATATATATATACATACATACCCATGGTGAACCACATATGTTTCACTTGGTTTGAAGTGCTAGCTGAGATGACAAAGTGGATAGAATTGGCGATTCCTTGACAGGTCTCATGCAGTCTTCACCTTGCAGGCCCTTTTTGCGCAGAGGTTTTGCCTTGTTCATGTTCAATTTCTTCAATTTCTTCAATTTGTTGGATTTAAATGCAAGAGGCAAGAGACATCAAAGAACAAACGTTTCGAGTTCGCATGGCCTTCAGCTTGGGATACAGGTTCGAATGGTGACATCTCGACCAGGCGGCCACATAGAAAGCCAGGCCAGGTGGGTCGAGTGTTCCAAGTGTTCCAGAGAGAGAGAGAGATGGCAGGTAGGGCAGGTAGGGCAGGTAGGGCAGGTAGGGCAGGTAGGGCAGGTAGGGCAGATAGGGTTTAGAATAGAAAACTTGTGAAGCGAAAGCTTTCTGAGGCTTCAACTGTGCGAAGCTCTCCGAAGCCCCTCGCAACTACTTGTCAATAATTGTCAATTGCTGGTTCTACCTCTTTGGAGTGTTGCGTTTTGGTCTTGGCAGGCCAAGGTGCACTTTGTGGACTTGGCTGGAAGTGAAAGGTCAGGGATTTCCAACAGAGGTAGCTGAGGTAGCTAGTACACAAGCCGTTTGCCTGAGCATACAGCTGCATCCCAGTATGAAGCACAAACATAGCGAGCGCAGTGGCAATGGATAGCACTGGACAGCTATGGATAGGAAGGGAAGCAGAGGAGCTCCGCTGTTTCAGTTGTCCATCCTGTCGTCTATGCTGTTTGATGCCTTACCCCAGGCAGAAGAAGACAGGTGCTGCTGGAGAACGGTTGAAGGCACCGTCATCAGCATGTTGCCTTCCGAAGATGAAACGATTGGAACCAAGGGAAAGTATGGGAAAGTTATGCGTTTCTGCCATCATGGAAAGTGTTAAGACTTGGTGCAGATTGTGCAGGAAGGGATTGGCATCAACTTGTCCTTGACCACTTTGGGCAGGGTAGCTGCCTCAGAGTGTCAGGCACAGCAGCTTAAGGCCACTTAAGGCGGCTCAGTGTAGCCTTGTCATCAAGTCACACGTAAAGTCACACGTGTGCCTGAGCAGATACCAATGTACCAATGCTTTGTCTTCTGTTGTTTTCTGAGCTTCTGTGGATGTTATGCATGGCCATGGTGCATTTGCTTTGTTTTTGCATCATGTACGCATCATCTATTTGGGTTCGACATCTCGTACCGTTGAGTCAACTGCCTCTGATTTTCCTGGCTAGGTGTTTCTGATGTCTTTTCGTTTTGATGCAGCATATCAATATATCCTAAAATCAGGCCTTAAATTTGTGTTTCGTATTAAATAAGTACGGGTGCCGTTCTCAGGTGATCTCTGAATTGACGAAGCCGGGTACAAGGACCTCTTTCCCACAAACAGTGTGACCTTTCTGACTTCCTGATCACATTATGATCACATTATGATCACATTATGATGACATTATGATCACATTATGATCACATTATGATCACATTATGATCACATTATGATCACATTATGATCACATAATGATCACATTTATCCAATGTGATCTTTGTCTTGTTTTAAAAAAACACAAATCAAATATTAGTCCATGGTCCATGATCTATGCTTCAAAACAGCACAAGGAGTGTTCCAGCTTTTCGAGAGTCCAAGCTGACTCTGCTTCTAAAGGACCCGGTGGGATCCTGTGCTTGGCAGGGAGCAAACGCTTAGTTTCATCATGTTCCGTCAACTTTGGTTTGTGGGTTTACTACACAAGCCACAAACGATCTACCTTTTGCGCATTGCTTTGTACATGTGACGTCTGAACGGACGAAGAATTTTTCTGTGTCTCAACCTGGCACTTGCCAGGATGCACTCATGGGCAACAGCCGCACAGAACTTCTGGCGTGCATTAGCCCATCTCTCTTCAATCTCGAGGAGAGACATTTTTCAGTCTTTAGCAAACATTAGCATCTTAGCCCACATATAGTACTATAAGACTCACAAGCCCTCCCAGGAAACAGTGAGCACGCTTGAATTCGCGGCCAGATGTGCCTTGTCTGACCACGGCCACGGCATGCACCACAATTCATGCTTCCTTGTGCTTCCTTGACTAGCAGATGTTCAGATGTCTTGAGATCTGAGGCAAATTGGTAAAGACGAGTGCTGTGAAGAACGAACAAAGCAAGGCACGTAACAAGTGGGGGCCTTTTGCTGCTCAGTGCTTCAGTGGCAGTTCAGTGGCAGTTCAGTGGCACAGTTGAAAAGATAAAAGAACTGAACGACATAAACGCGACATAAACTTTTCAACATGGTGACGACTTAGAATGCAAAACATATGGTACACACTTTTCATATTTTTCATGGTCACTTTATGCATCACTTTGCATAGCACTTTGCATGGCACATGGCACACATGGTCCCGCAGATTTGGTGCAAGCTTCACTTGCACTGGCACTGTCAGAGACTGCAGATGTTCAGACACTTTACCACTTTACTTTGCAGAGACTTGACAGGTACCTGAGGTACCTGTATTATTACTGTATTATCTTTATTTATCTTTAATATCCTGTAACTGCCCAATTAGCTGAGTTGAGATTGAAGCAATTTCCTTGGCTTTTTTGGCGGGACAAGGAAGGCTAAGGCTAAGGAAAACATGGAAGATTTTGTCAGATTTCCTCAGATTTCGTCAATGGAATGGCTGGCGCGGCCACCTTACTCTCCGTGAAGACATGGCCTCAAAGGTGCCTTGGCACGGCTGCATTGCTTAAGGCATATCATGAAACCGCGCTGTGACCCAAAGCGAGACCCAAAGGGAGATCCAATGGGAGATGCAATGGGAGTCGATTCATGTTGTTTATGCATGAATTGTGCTTTGATTATTGTCATTGATTCAAGTCTGGAGAGATGGATGAGATCGCAGCTCAACTTGACGATTCACATCTTTCAAAAAAAATCAAATCTTTTCGAACATATTTCTCTGAGATAAGAGATTTCTCTAAGGTATGTGAGTCTTCGCAACAATCCGAGTGGCACTGTGAGCGGCTGGGACGGAGACCCTGGACCAGCTGGTCATCTCATTTTCCAGGTGCCCAGGGGACGGCTGAGGGGTGTAATTTCATGTAAATTCTAGGTACGGTAAATATATATATAATATAATATATATATATATAATATAATGTATATAATGTATATCAATATGATTTCAATATAGAAGTTATCTAGGCAATGATGATCACGAATGTAGCTTGGCTTAGCATAGCTTAGCATAGCGGCGAATCCTTTGTCCTTTTGGAGTTGTACGTGAGGCGCTGTGCCTTCCAGAGCTTTCATGAAACATTCAAAAGACACACTTGATATATCTTGATGTCAACTTGATACAATTTGTTGGTGGCAGTTGAATTGTGGTCAATACATGTTTCATCCATATCATTCATGGATGGACCAGTTTCTCGCGATGAGTTTTATCCACCCGTGAGGAAAGAGAAGGGCACTACCTCATCTCGACGGAGCAATTCCCTCGCAGTTTCTTTAGACTCGTGAAGGAGCCGAGTCTGAGCCGAGATCCGAATGATTGATTGATGCAGTGCCGCAGTGCCGCAGTGCTGCATTGGCATTGAAACTCATTAAGACGGGAAGTTTCCTGCGCTTGGATGAAGCTAGTTCATGGTCTTATATCGACAAATGTGCTAATATGCTATCGTGTTATCATTTCTTGTTTTGACATACTGCACTTTAACAGGATTTCATATGATTTCAGCAGTCCTTCGCCTTGGCAGGATGACTTCGGTAGCTATTTGCACGTCGTGGGAAAGCGTGGAGAACCAGGTCGTGCAGGCCAATTTGTCATTGAGGAGTGCTCACTTGACTCAGTTGATCCATTCAATATGCATCCGCGATGCTGTGAGCAACCCTATCTCAGACTTGTTTCTGCCATATTCTTATCGAAAACATCTTAAAACTTAAAACATCTTGAAACATCTTAACCCACTTGAACGATATTGAAAGGACAACATGCAGAGCATTTTGGAGTCTTGATTTGAGTGCAATTTTCACCAGCTTGCTGAGTCAGGAGATGCCTGGATACCTGCTCATATCATCCAAGCAATGGCCTGATTGGTTTCTCTTTGTGGAGACTTGGTAAAAATTGAGAACGTATGAAAACCAGAAATTCACTCGTTTCGTCGTTTCTTGTGAACATTTTCCGATGCATTTCTGATGTGTTTACGCCTGCGTTTCCTGCATTTCCTGCACTTCCTGTACTTCCTGTCTCCGCCTCTCAGGACGAGCTTGGCAGGTGCCTTGTTTGCATAGCCCGCATAGCCATAGGCCATAGCCATGGATTGTCTCAGATCTGAGGATCAGTTTGCCTTGTTCAGCTTAGTTCAGATCGGTTCGGCTTAGTTCTGATGAGTTCAGCCCGCTTGGACCGTTTGGCTGTTTTGGGTCTTTTGATTTGTTTCATTGTCAGGTTGAGAGCGGAACCAGGTGATCCGGGCAATAAGGGGCACTTTCTCCTGAACAGAAAGATTCCTCAGGCACCTGGCATGGCACCTGTCCGACGTCGCGCATTGTGAAGTGCCACAGTCCAATCTTCTTAATATCCAACAGCGACACAAAATAGCCGCTAGGGCAACGCAAAATCTAGCCACTAGCCAGTGCGGGCTGAAAGCCAGGAGTCAGAAGGGTCTGATGGGCCAGGGCCATAGACGACTTAGTCGCCGTTGGCTGATGATTGCTCTCTTTTCTCTTGGTTGTCAAACTGCACAGCAAGAATGAAGAGGGTGGATGAGCTTGCTGAATTGGCTGAGGCTGCCTGCAATAATTCAGACTATGCACCGTGGTCGCATTGGTCTAGGAATTGCATGAATTTGCTGCACGTTTGGTATTTCGTGTTAAGATCTGACGCAAAGAGGATGGCACTTGTGGCTGTGTCAAGCCTGACAGCTTAGGTATTTGATTCATAACAAAGACCGAGAACATGCTGCAGCCATGGCTCTCCTGAGCAATCAAAAGGAAGAGGCAAGTACCTTTGCACCTGCTGATTGTGGTGCAGGAGGTAGAGCAGGTAGAGCTGATACCAATAGTGACATGACTGCCACATCAAAGACTGGATCAACTTGATCAACATTAATGGCTGCCACAGATCCCACGGACTAGAATAAGAGTCGGATGAACTTTGATGGGCAAATTTGATCAAATTTGCGCATTGTGTGACTTCACAATGAGGACGAATGAGGGAAGATAGGAAGATACTGTAAGATACTGTATAAAAGTGAATGAAGTGACTTCGAAGTGACAGGAGGACTTTTCTAAAATGTTTGCTTTCAGCGCGAGGTGCGAGCCCGGGAAGTGGCTGTGCTGCAAGCCCAAATGACAAGCGAACGGGCAGCATCAGAGGCAACTCTCCATGACACAAACAGCAGCTTGGCCAGCACAGAAAGAACAAACAAGACATTTTAACATTTTGAACATATGTTTAAAGATGTTTTAAGACTATAGGCAACTATGGCCTCAGGGGGCCTTGGCAGGATCTGGGTATGTGCTTTCTTTTTTTTTTAAAATGTTGCATGCATGAACGCTAAATTCTACCTGACATTGCGACATCTATGAAACTGCAAGTTTGATGCTTTAGAGCATCACCTGTTTTGCTTGGAGTAGAAGAAAGCAATGATATTCAATATGAATTCAGTTAAACACAAGGTAAGCTGTCATATAAGTTATATATATGTTATATATAAGCCTTGTCTATCCTCATCAAGCTTCAAATGAATTGAAGCTGAGGAGAACATGACGAAGCTTGTGCCCAGCTCCATCAGCAGCACTTTGACTGTCGGATTAATCACTTGGTGATTCAAGCAATGCCAAGTACTCTGCCAAGTACTCTGCCAAGTACTCTGCCAAGTACTCTGCCAAGTACTCTGCCAAGTACTCTGCCAAGTACTTCCAGATATTGCAAGATATTGCAAGTAAATGCGATGATAAATGTACGTAAATGTAAGATGTAGGATTCGACAGATTACACCTTGCAAACTCCTTGCGAATTTCACTATCCACCTGTTTCACTCTGGGCGCCCGAACGCAGAGCCAATCCACTTTGTCCCAGGATGGAGAGGGAAAGGCAAACGGCTACAGAAGTCCTGGAAGAACGAGACAGGAACCATGCGGATGATTCTTTCCCAAAAATGCCTTGTGGATGATGTGACACTATGTGTGCCAGGGTCGAAACATAGGTTGTTTTCCTATCTTGAAGGTTGGTCATCAATCCATTAATAGGGATTTATATAGCCATTACAAGTATTCCCATTATGGGATGGATGACCATAAACCTTATACCGTGTTTTGACCCTAGCACATGTGACAATGATGTGGATGTTGGATATTTTTTTCCGCTAGTTGAACGGACAAAAGGTGTCAAAGGGTATTATTTGCTTGGCAAGTGCGTCCTGACAGCTGTGTGTATTCAGTGCAATGGCTTTGTCTGCCTTCCAGCAAAGCACAACATGCAACGAGAAGGGAGATTGTCAAATTTGTCAAGCTCTGAATTCGAAGTGAAGACATGGATCGTTGTTTCGCAAAATGTCACATTTTTTGCTGCGGCTGAGGATGCAAAGCGAAGAGTTACTTGGCAGCGACACTGAAGTCGTTTGCATAGGTTCTTGGATTGTGGCCATGTTGTGGGAGTGTCATGCGAGTGTCATTCCCAGTGTCATTCCGAGTGTCATGCCATGTCTTAGGACTTGGAATTTGCTGATGCTCTTGCTGTCGGGAGCTTATCGTCTAAACGCCAAAGCGCCAGACTCACCACCTCGTAGTCCTGAATGACGTGTTGCCACCTGAATGGCTTGCCACGTTGCTACAATCCGTGCCATGCCATGCAGGGCATGTGTTTGTTCTTAGGCTCTCCGTCGTCAAATGGACGCTCCGCTGAAATCCTGAAACCTTTCGTTGAAGCTTGAGCATTTGGAGCATTTGCTGGACTTTATGCATCTTCTGAGGATCAAGAAAGAGCATCAGCGGCTGCTGCTATGCGACAGCTTGAGCAGGAGCATGCTCAAGAGGCTGAAAACAAAGATACGAAGGAAACTGTCAACACATTTCCACTTCGTTACATCTTCGTAGATATGAAGTTGCACCGAACGCATGTCTCTTTTAAAACTGCAATACTCCCCACTTAGAATTGGGTATGCTGCGGCATATACCTTACTTTTGTTCTGATGTATTGCGGAATTTAGCCAATCCAGTGCTTTTCACTTCGCAAGTCACAGGAGATCACAGGAGTTATATAGTTTCTTGAGGTACACTGAGAAAATCACGCAGTTCACTGCAGGTTGAAGCGCTGAATGAACTCCACAAGGCGGGTGAGATGAGATTGATTCCGATTGATTCCAAAAGAAGATGCATACTTAAAGCTTTACTTGATCATTTTAAAAATACATTTGATCATGTTCGTGCCATTTGAATCCAAGACAAGATGCTTTGCTGTATTCTACATTGACTCGACATGGTAAATTCATGTTAATTTCTGTGGTCTAAAAGGCAGGAGAATTAAGGGTGTTCGACATGATTCTGCTTGAGTTTAGGAAAGAACACAAAAGAACTATCATGTGGATCACTAGGCTGAAACGTCTCATGCACCTGACTCGGTCCTGACTCATGACCGCAGAAATGCTGTGATGGCAGCCGACACTTTTGCATTTTGCGTTTGTGCGCAGGATGAGCTCGATGCAACAGTAAAGGCAAAGGCCGGAGAGGGTCAGGGAAGAGATGCAGAATGATGCTAAAAGCCTGAGAGATCACAGGTGAAACCACTCTCTCATACGATCTCATACATGGTTGCATGGTTGTCGTTCGAACATGTTCGAACAGTGTTTAACCAGTTTACTTTTGGTTCAATTGATGAAAGTCCCGCATCAACTTGCAGTGACGGTCACAAAGATGTTCCCCAAGCGTTAGCTTAGAGGTCTCAGCCCAGATTAAGGTTCGGTGCGGTTTCGGGTGCAGGTTCGTGGGTGGTTGCGGTAGGTTCCGGTAGGTTCCGGTAGGTTCCGGTGTAGATTTTAAAGAGGCTCCCGTGGAGGTTCCCTGGTGGTTCCGGGTGGTGTTTCCTGACATTTCGGTGCTTCTTGGGTTCCGGGACGGGTCTGGATCCATCTGGCGATGGTGGCTCCGGGATTCCGGCGTGATGCTTCCAGTGTGAAACTTGACAGGTTCACTGGCTGTCACTACCTTTGGGGATACCCCTGGGACCTTGCACTGCTGCACTGTGTGTCTTATTTCAGGGCTTATTTCATACGAGTTATTTCGAGTTATTTCGAGTTATTTCGAGTTTCATTTAATTTCAGATTTTCAGATGCTTCGAGTCGCTTCGAGTGTCGCTTCGAGTGTCGCTTCGAGTGTCGCTTCGACTGTCACTTCGACTGTCACTTCGAGTCTTTGAGTCGTTTCGTTAGGACACGGCGACCCGCAACGCCTTGGAGTCGCTGCACGCGGAACTCGAGGCCGTGCGACAACACGACGTGGCTGAGCTCCAAAAGGAGTTGGAGGAGGACGGGCGGATCGGACTCCCGGTCCGGAACCAGATCTCTTTCCCCACAAAGGAACAACATAAGGAACAACGATGCAGGAACACAGAAACACATTGAACACATGGAAAACATAACATGAATTGACATGGAAGACACATAAGGCACATGATGCAAGCCTGATACATCTATACTGTCTTTACTTCACCATACTTCGCATTGAGTCAGTCAAACGCACCTCGTGGTGATCCCCTAAACTCCGCGCAACTCCTTGGCTGCCGCTTGCAGATATTGCAGATGCTTGTGACATTCTTCTGGGACAGATCGTAAGAGCATGTAATTGCCATAGTTCTCCCATGTTCTCCCCAGAAGTCTTGGTGCAGTCAAATCCAGGAACGAAGCTCATGGGCAAGGACCCTACAACAGAAGGACTGGTTACAAATTGCCGCATTGTTGCTCTTCCCTCTTTGAAGCAGCTTGCAGCAAGCCGTGCAGGACAAATTCTACGTGATTGAAAATTTGTAAATGGTAAAACAGTCTAAAGATGTCTAAAGATGTCTAAAGTGATCTAAAGAGTCTGGTAAATCTGGTAAGATTCCAGGAACTACTGTACAAAGTGGAACTCTCCGCCATCAGCACAGCCAAAGATAAAGATTTCAAAGAGATGGTCGAGGAAAAGGACACGAAGTACGAAGATGCTCGGCTCATCTCGGCTCATCTCGGCGGAGAATTCTGTTGATTTCTGTTGTGTAAACCTAAAAATGAAAGCACAAAGTGTTTAGCACAAATTGTGTTTGTGTGTTTTGGCACAACAGAAATAGTTCCATTCTGAATTTGAAGTTTGAAGGAAAGTGGAAATATACATATACTCCAACTTGATTGTCTAGACTGTTTTCCGCATTTCTTTCTGATTGGCATTATTCTTGCAGCTTTTTTTTGCCAAGGTTGACATGGCCCTAAAGAACACCAAACATGCTGTGGAGATGCCGCTCGGCCAGAGCAGAGTGTTAAACTGATCGGAGAATCAAATCAGATAATCTGTGAAAATTGTGTCCACACTGTTTGTGAACCCCTGTGGTGTCACATCCTGTCGTTTCACATATTGTGTGTCCTGTCAGGGAGCAGCTGGCCACTGAAAAGGACCGGAAGCAAAGAGCGTTTTCAGCAAAGCCAAATGCAGAGCATTGCAAGACCAACTTTGTGAAGCAGTGAAGCACATGTAGAGCCATACATTTATTCATGTATGTAGTCAGATCCATACATATAATATGTATATATATATATATACATATTATACATAAGATTATACTATACAACGAGAATTAATGGTACGAGTAATAATAATCCTGCACTAGATAGAATATGACACAATATGGATGTTTCAATAGTATCCCATTGTAGTCAGTATTCTTGGCATTATCATGAATTATCCACATTCTATCTACTCCAGGATAATGATATATATATATATATATACACATCACATATATATATATATATAATATACACACACACGCGTAATTAGATGCAGTATATGTATTCTGGCCATAGATGCTTGGGATGAACATTCTTTGCTTCTCAGGACACAACCTGGGCTTTGGCAATGTCTAAGTGCATTGAGGAGAAGGCCACGCATTGGAATGAACGTGGGATTGAAAGTAACGGAAAGGCTTTTGGAAAGGGACTGAACGGATCTGAACGGTCTAACCGATGGGATGATTACAGAGATCCACCGAAAGGAAGGTGGGGGTCTTGGGGCTCGCAAACTGTTTGGCAGATTTTGGCAACATGCCACCTGGCTCACAGGATGTTGAGAGACGTGAGATTGTGGCTGCGCTTACAAACCATTTCCAGGAGGAGGGCATGGGGACAAAGGTGCTGACTCGCCTTTGTTGGCCTAAGACATTCTGATACGATTACGATCGACATCTACATAATTTACATAATTCTACCAATATCGCTAGATATCTTGGTCCAATTGTTGCGATGTCAGGAGCAGAAATCAAGGTTCAAATTCTGGAGAGGTGGAGGTGACCGAAAGAAGGCCGGAAGCGCACAGAAGGGTCATGTGAAAATGGTGAAACTGTGAAACCTCGCCATGGCCGCCATTTCATGGAAAACTCAGAAAAGTCATGGAAAGCTTCGAATTCATTGCATTTCATCGCCCAGGTTCCAGTGACCTGGCTGCAGAACTGGTTCATGATAAATATGATAATTAGTTTTTTTTGGCTGTGAGCTCGATAGTATATAATGAGAAAGATGTGTGTATATGTATATGTATATGTATATGTATGCAAATATTACAGTCTTCGGGGGCGAGTTTGCGTGTTGATCACGTGTCAGATGGCAAGGTGGATGCAGAAGCCTTGATGGTCGCTCAGCACAACCTTGGTTCCCCATGTCTCCACCAGATTTGAGCTCCATCGAGTCATCCTTTGACTTTCACACGCTGATGATTCAAACAACAAAAAGCGGGGAGGGATGTACACCTGCCTGGTCTTGGAATGTTGTTACACCCGCTTATAGGCTACGATTTATGACTATTTAGAAACTGATAACGAACATCTACTGCAAGACAACAGACTGCCATAGCATGTTTTGGGTTTGCATGCGAAAAGTCTCCGAACAGTTCCAAATGGTCCTCCATATTCTTTTGCAAACTGATATAGTTCATTTCTTTGATCCCGTGTGCTGCTTTTAACTTTTGATTGTAAGAACAAATCTTTGCAAGTTTGACTGTCAGTTTGACCTTTTGGACCTCCTCAAAAGGACAAAACGCGTTGGACTCTTTTGTTTACCTGGCCCAGGTGGCAACAAAAAGCCTTCGCAAGCCCATCCATTCATAGCCAGGCGGCGCGGCTTGACTTAGGCAAGACTTCTATTAGAGTTACTGTATTTCAGCCACCTCTATCGGGTATTGATATTGTTTGATATTGTTTGATATTGTAATCTATTATGCATGTTCTTTTTTTTGTGGGAGTCCACGAGCAACTAAACCGAGCTTTTACATTTTTCTCGCAAGGCAAGTGACTGAGAGCGTTTGCCAAAGGCAGCGCCAAAATTCGCTGGAAAGTTTTGAAAAGATGGAATGTCTGGTATGCTTTCAAAGAAAGCTTACCCGCCTAAGATTCGGAACAAATTAGAATTTGTTGATGCCATAGTCCTTAGCCAGCAAGTGATATATTTTCTCGGATCCTTGGCCAATTCAAGCTTCCACAAGTTTCCCTTTGTATGTCTTTATATTGTTTTAGCAAACTCAGCTTTACTGTAGATTCTCTAAGTGACTGAATTTGGGGAGAGAGACAGGTTGCCTTTGCTTTGCAGACAGGCAAGCATTGAGCCGTGTTGAAAAAGGAGCGTATTTAAATGCTTACCAGTTTTCGCTGCGGACCTGCGAGAGCTTTTGCCGTTGGCATTAAGCATTTGTTGATTTCAACGATGTCCCCCGCACTTGCCACCGCTTTCCATCCTTTCTTATTGATTCTTCGGCAGACTGACGTGATTCAGCGACTCACAGATGAGAAGGCAGACAGTGCAAAAAAACATTCCAAGTTTGCAATTTTGAACGAGCTCAGTTTGAGAGCTCTGGTGTTTCTGAAGCACTAAGAACAGATTCAAAACTGCGAGAAACGTGGCAGTTGACACTGTAAGTTCTTTGCTTCCCGCTCCACAGCAGACGCTCTCGTCCCGTCAGGCTGTCATTGAAGACCAGTTGCGACAGGAAAGGCTTCAAAGGGAAGAACTTTCTCGTCAACTCCAGGCCAACACGAACATGTCACGAACGTGTCACGAACATGTCACAAACATGTCACGAACATGTCACGAACATGTCACGAACATGTCACGAACATGTCACGAACATGACGCATGTGTCAACACAATGTGTCAAACACAATGTGTCAACACAATGTGTCAACTGTGTCAAAATGTGCAGATGCGGAATGATGCGGATATGGAGCCATGCAGAGATATGCAGAGTACTTTCAGACCCTATCTTCCACCCAGATTGTGCAGGCGTTGGAAGAAAAACAGAAAGCAGCCGAGAGAGCGCTAGAGGCATGCATCTCCACTTCAACATTGTGATGTAATTCATGATGTGTTGCTATGTTATGTATACATATATATGTATATATATATACACAATTATATAGATACGCACATGAACTATACATGCACTATACACAGAGTATACATACACTCATACACTATGTATATATGAGAAATGCAGCTGTTGTCAAGGATCTGACCTGCAGGTGAGCTGTGCATCTCCATCGCATCTTGGTTCAAAGGCCTAACGCCAGTTGTGCTACGCAATCAGCTCATGGAAAAGGCTGCCAGTCGCTGCTTTGCACTTTGAGCGACTTCAGTGGCACCGGAGCTATCTGGTTGGATCCTTTTGCGCTGCGCTGTGCTCTCCGCTGCTGCATCTTGGTTTCCTTCTGCACGACCGACCTCATCTTCCACCTTACTGAATCCTAGGCCGGTGATCCTTGCGGAGAACTAGGTTTTGGACCGGGACAGTGAGGGTGAGATCTCTTGGTGCCTGGCACTACATTCATCCATTTGTTGCAAGCGCTTCGATTGGTGGATTGGGCACTTTTGTGAATTCAGTTTTCCTTTTGCAGTTTCTACCTTTTTGTGTATCACTTCGTCACTGCGATGCCAGAGGACGACAAGGACCAGAATGGTGGTGCTTGGAGCAGGGTACCCACTTGGGATGGAAGTCCACAAACGTGGAGAACATTCAAGCGGGAGATGACGTGGTGGACTTCGGCTTTGGATTTGCAGTCCACCTTGAAATACAACTTGGCAGCAAGATGGTTATTGCGCCAAAGTGGAATCGTCAGGCAGAGGGGTGAAGAGTTTCTACCCGAAGAACTGGAGGCCCAGCAAGAAGTAACAGGCACAGACCCGGAGACTCAGGAGAAGGTGGTATTGACACCAGCCGACCCCTTGAAGGGGTTGAACAAGTTGATAACAGCCTTAGAGGGCATGAATGGTCGCACCACCTTGGACAAGAAGGGCGAGCTACGCAATATGTTCTATCAGGACCTGAAGAGAAAGCCTGGGGAACGCATTGCAGAGTTTTGTTCACGTTTTCGAGTGTTGGTTGCAGACTTGAAGACTGAAGGAGTGTTGCTCCCGTCCTCGGAGGTGGGCTGGTTCTTCAGAACAAAGTTGGGGCTCGACCCGATACGGGTCCAATTGCTTGACACTGCACTTGGAGGGGCTGAGGAGTATGAGACCATAGAGCGTGAGGTCCTCAGGCTCTTCAAGGAGTTGCATGTTCAGGATCCGTTGAATCGGACTCGAGATGTAAAGGGCTCTCCAGTGCTTCAAAGGTTTCTGAATCAGCCGCAGCAATCCTCTTTTAGCAGACCTTCATCCTATGCTCCTTCCATGGCGTCCTCTACCAGGACATTTCGGTCGAGTTCCTCAGCACCCTCTGGAGCACCTTCTTCCAGGTTTAGTAACTTGCGCAAGCCAAAGCAGGTTATGGTTTCTGAGACAGACCTCAATGCAGAGGAACCTGAAGAGGAAGAGCTTGTTGAAGATGGGGGAGAACCTCAAAGTTTGGAGGAAGTGTTGCAAACAGAAGTTGAAGCTCTAGCCACAGAGCTTGAGGAGGCTGCAGAGCTTGGCGTGGACGAAGATGCGTTGAAGGAGGTCGAAGAGTCCGTCGAAGCAGCTGCAGAGGCTTTGATGACAATGAAGGAATCGAGACATCGACTCCAAGAAGTTCGCAAAGACCGAGGCTATGGAAAAGCTTCGGGTGGTGCCGACAACAAGTCAAAGATGAACCCAAGGAAGACATCCAAGAACCCCTGCTTCGACTGCAATCTTCCAGGCCACTGGGCCGGAGACCCGGAGTGCAAGAAGCCGGGACAGCAGTTAGGGCGCAAAAAGCCCAAGCAGGTGCAGTTGGCTGAAGTTCTGAACACAGAACACACCATTGAGGAGAAGCTTGAGGAGCATTCCAACGAAGTTTTAGCAGTTTCTAGCGTCGGCACGTTGACAAAATCCTTTGCCGTGGCGTTGGAGGAGTCTCACAAGACGCCCAAAGAGGTTCATGCGGCGTCGAGCAAAATGTCGCTGGACAAGCGGTTGGTTGGAGCCCTTGACAGTGCTTGCAACCGAACGTGCACCGGCAGTGAATGGTTGGCTGGGTTTTTGTCTGGCCTTCGTGAGGCGCCTGCAGAGATCCGCACGTTGGTGCGGCAAGAAGAGGAGCATGAGACTTTCAGGTTTGGCAATGGGGGCACCCAGGTGTCATTGAGGAGATGGCGCCTACCATTTGTGGTGGGAGATGTTTTGATGTGCGTTTGGGTGTCAGTAGTTCCAGTCAATACTCTAGGTCTTCTCCTTGGACGTGATTTTTTGGAAGCCATTGGAGCAAACCTAGACTTTGCCCGCAGAACTTTGACATGTGACTGGATCGCTTCAAAGCCTATGACCTTGAAGCAGCTCTCTGCAGGACATTACCTCCTGCACCTTTTGCCTCGAAGCTGGCCCAGTTTGGATGCTCAGAGGTGGCGTAGGGTTGGTATTGATGGTGTTGTCGAGCTTCAGTTGAGTACAAAGAATTGGTTGAGCAGACGTTTGAAGACATGCTCACATCAGAAGGGTTCATGCCATGATCATTTGCTGATGGAGATGAGTGTACATGCTGGGCATTTGGTTTGCACTGTGCTATCATCCCGTGATGATTTGGCTCCACCTGTCACAGCAGCGTCAAGCTCGATGTCTCCGACGTCGGCTGAAACACGAACGACAACATCCTCTACGACCAGGAGCTCATTGAAGCCAAAAGATGGACCAGCAACCCCGCGTCCAAAATGCGGGAAAGTGGCGCAGAATGATCATCCGGCTCAGAGAAAGAGCCATATGGGCCGCAAAAGGGCTATGCCTTTGGCTCTTACAAAGGCCCTACTTGCGATTTCTGCCTTTGCCTTACCCTTCTACTCCCAGCATCGACAAGTGGAAGCACCAAGCCCGCGAGCAGGTGACGGCGGGAACTTTGCCTCGTCGCTACCTCGACTTCGCCAATCGGAACGGGCGCTTCACGATGCAGAACGTGGGAGAATGCATTCACCTTCGAAGCCGCCTTGGGCTGATGACGGCATTCTGCGAAGATCCTCATCTTCAAGGTATGGTGGCAGCTCTCCCTGTCAAGGGGCTGGCATCCAAGATCCAAAAACAAGTCAAGGAGGAGGCCATGGCGTCTGCCAGCAGAGCAGAAGCAGAGGGCAGCCGCGAAGCAGAAGCCAGATCGATGATCGGTCCAAAAGGAGGACTTCCATCTCTCCGTGGCGACTTGGTGCGTCTTGCAGCACTTCTACATGTGCCATTGGAGGACAAGGACACCATTGCACAGATCAAAGAAAAGGTCAAACCAATGGTCGCAGTGCTGAAAGAAAAGCCAGTGGTGCCTGTCGCCAAGAGCAAGGTGAGGGGAGCACGTCCGAAGTCAAGCCCAAGCAAGGCCGCATCGTCCAATCCGCCTCTGACCATGCAGAATTTGGCCGACCAACAGTTGAGGATGGGCACGGTTTTGGAAACCATGTCCAAAGAGCTCACCACCCTGAGACAACAGACCGGCCGTCGAGCCGCTCTTCACGACCAACAGATGGAGGTGGACGACAAGGCATCAGAGGGGACGTACACCAGCGAGGAGCTGAGGGCGGCGGCAGAGAGCATGGAGGACGTGTATGCCGAGCAGTTAGCCGCAGTGTATGGGGAGGAGGAAGTGGAGTTCCTGACAAACGAGCAGATAGCGATTGTTTTGGATCCGTGAATGAGGTCTACAATCCCTACAAGTTAGAGCAAGACATCAAGAAAGGCCAAGCCCAACTCATTTCTCAAGCTTGGTCAAAACATGTTGCAGACCGAGTGCGCGTTTCCCAAAGCGCCAAGGAAGTCAGAGAAGTACTTGAAGCTGACTTCTACAAGGAAATGACGGGCTATGTCAATGACGAGACCTTTTTCCAATCCATTGACTTGTCCCATGTTTCCTCTGTGACAGACTCCTCGGAAGTCAATGCGGCGGAAAGCAGTGCATCACATCGTCCTTTGGTGTCAGAGATTTACACCACTGCTCAGAATGTGATGAAGGAGGCCAAACGGAGGGGGCATTCAGTTGGAACACCCATGTCTCTAGAAAATGGATGGAATTTCTTGAGAGAAGATCATCGAGAAAAAGCTTTGCAGATTGTTCGAGAAGAGAAACCATTTTGTCTTGTCCTTGCCTTTCCCTGCGGTCCGTTTAGCCCACTGCAGCGGTTGAACTCCAAGGGTCGGGAGACTTTGGATGCCCGACAAGCAGATGGATTGGTTTTGATGCGGTTTGCAATACAGCTTGCTCAAGAGCAGATCAATAATGGTCGACATTGCATTCTGGAGAATCCTCGGCCGAGCCAAGCATGGCACATGGTTGAGATGAGGCGTTTTCTTGAAGAGAATGACATCAACACAGCAGTTTTTGATCAGTGTCGTTTTGGCCTGAAGAGTCTGTCTGGTGGGTTGCATAAGAAGCCGACAATGGTGGCAAGTTCTTCTTCTGAAGTTGTTTCTCAGCTGGATGGAGTGCGGTGCATGCGCGATCACACTCATATCCCGGTTTTGGGAGGCTCCAAAATCACCGCCCATGCGGGCATTTACCCACATCAACTAGCAAGAGCGCTGGTTGTGGGTATTGAGAAGCAATTTGAGAAGGATTGCAGCTCTCATGAGGTTTTGGCGGCTCAAGCAGATGAGGATGATTTGGGTTTTGAGGGCGTTGAACCTCAGCACCCTCCTGGTGAAGTGGAAACAGATGATGAAGTTGAAGATGAACTTGACCAGAAGAAGATCAACATACCTGCTAGTGTGCGTCAGGCGATCAAACGCCTCCATGAAAACACGGGGCATAGAAGCACCCGACGTTTGGCGAGGGCTCTCGCCATAGCAGGAGCTCCAGAAGAAGCAATCGTCGCGGCAAAGCAACATCGCTGCGAGGTTTGCCAAGAACGTGCTCCTCCCAAGTCAAGGAGACCAGCAAGCCTGCCTGTTCCCAAAGATTTTGGCGACCAAGTGCACATTGATGTGATGGAAGTTTATGATGCAAAGGACCGACGTTTCTTTGTGATTCATGCCACAGACTATGCTACAAGGTATCAACTTGCGGAACTCATGTCGGATAAGTCCTCTAAGTCGGTCATACGGTTTATGGCTTTGAAATGGGTTGCAACATTTGGTGCTCCTAGAGTTCTTGTCTGTGACCAAGGTCGCGAATTTATCAGTTGGGAATTTGAAGAATGGGCAAGTTCAGTTTCCACAATGCTCCACCACATTGCAGTGCAAGCGCCTTGGCAAAATGGCATAGCCGAGCGCACTGGAGGCATCCTCAAGACGCTTCTTTCTGCAATCATTGCCTCTCAGTCGGTGCTGGGCAGAGAGGAAATGGAGCTGGCCTTGGCGGAGGCAACTGCAGCGTACAATGGCGACATCAATGAGTCTGGAGCGGCCGCCATCGGCAGACAGCCGAGAATGGTTGGCGACGTGCTTGGTGGCATTGGCTCACGCCTGGCAGAACACGGGCTGATAGACTCAAAGCCATCCTTTGCTCGTCAGATTGCTATGAGGGAAGTTGCAAAGATTGCCATGACTCGGCTTCATTTCAGCCGAGGACTCAGAAAAGCAGAATTAGCCAGGTCGAGAAATTCAACAATAGAACAAGCTCCAGAACCTGGCACCATTTGCTATTTCTATCGGCCATTGAAGTACAACAGCAAGAATTCTGGAAACCGACGAAAGCTCACCTTGAAGCGGTGGCACGGTCCTGCCTTGCTGGTGGCAACAGAGGGCACTTCCTCGGCTTACCTTTCTCACAAGGGTCAGCTCACGAAGTGTGCTTTGGAGCATGTACGAGTGGCTTCCACGTTGGAGCAGATTGCTTCCGACACTTGGAGGGATGCGATTGAAGAAGCTGTTCAACAAGCAATGCATGACCTTGCTTTGCGTCCTGCAGCCCCAGTTGAAGCTCCAGAAGATCCCCAAGTTCCGCAATCAGCCCCTGGAACGCCTGGCTTTCTGCCTTCTAGGGGAGCCGTAGAGGTTGCAGATCTCGCTGGTCTAGATCTACCACCTGTGGAACCAGTCGAAATTGTTGGTGCCCTTGGATCAGCACCAATTTTGCCTTCCTTGGTGGGTTCAAGCTTGCCTTCGCGGAGGGTCAGTGATGTGACTGGTGCTCAGGCTTCTAATGCAGCCCCTGCCTCAATGTCTTCCTCGTCTCAAAGACCGCCTTTGCTGCAGAATCAAATTGAGAAAGCGCGAGAGATGGACGAAGGCGGTGGAGCAAAGAGACCTGCAGAAGTAGATGCTGAACAACTCAGGGAAGATGATAGGGCCGCTGCTGCTTTTGGAGGCCATCAGACTATGGTGGTAGAAGGGTCGACCGAACAAAAGGTTCCTTTGTTTGCAGACCAAGTGTATGACGCCCTTGTGATGTCGCGAGCTGAAGTTGAAGAAGCAATGACAGACCCTCAGAGACATCCGCTTCTTCAAATTCGAGATCAGGCCTGCTTGGACCGCCTTGATCCCTTAGAAGCTCAGCCACAAGACCATGGCACTTGGGATGGTAGGTGGGGACTCCCATCACGCACTGAGTGGCAGACCAGAACCAAGCTTGGACTTTCTTGGCCTACTGGGCTGCGCCCTCATGAAGTGCTGACCAATCAAGCTGCGAGAAAGGAATTCCACTGGAAGACCATGAGTGACCATGAGAAGGAAGAATTTGCAAAAGCCTCAGATGATGCCTGGAAAGTTTGGATGGAAAACGATGCAGTCGAACCCTTGGACTCCATTGAATCAGAGAAGGTTAGAAAACGCTTGGCCACAAATCGTGAAACTAGCAAAATCTTGACACCTCGCTATGTTTGGACAGACAAGAACGAGCCGTTGAGGACGCCATCGCATCCTCTACCTCTTCGTGCAAGAGCTCGAATAGTGGTTCCAGGGTATCAAGATGTTTTCTCCTTTTCACTGCGGAAAGATGCGCCCACTGCATCGCGAACCTCTCAACATCTCTTGCTCATCATGACGGCGTGCCACTTTCTTGGTTATGATGCTTCCTTGAGGTGGCGTTTGATGTCTGCAGATGTGAAAAGTGCTTTCCTCAAGGGAGACCCATACATGTCTGAGGCCAGAGAGCTTTACATGGAGAACATGCGCGTGAAGTCAGAGGATGAACCGAAGCTTCCTTTAGAACCTGGATGCCTGGTGAAGATCCGCAAAGGAGTGTTTGGTCTCAGTGACGCACCCCGGGAGTGGTATTTGCGTCTCAACAGATCACTGCTGGCTGCCGGGTGGGAAAGATCTCCAATGGACTTTGCGTGTTGGCTGCTTTGGTCAGAAGATCATACAGAACTTCATGGCATATTGATTTCCCACGTGGATGATTTGCTGCTGGGAGGAAACCTCCGGGCACAGGAAAAGCTGAAGGCCTTGGGAGAGGAACTTGGATTTGGAAGCGTTGAGTACGATGATTTTTCATACTGCGGAAAGCGCATCCGGCAGAAGCCTGATGGATCCATTTCGATCTCCATGATCGAGTATCATCAGAACCTCAAGCCTGTTTCAATTCCGGTTCATCGCAGATCCACGCCTCAGGCTGAATTGACAGCCCCAGAGCGTAAGCAGCTTCGAGCAGTGCTTGGGTCTTTGCAATGGTTAGTTGCCCAACTTCGTTTCGACATGGGCTACCACTTGTCTGTCCTTCAAGGTGAAAGGCCAACAATTCTGACTCTGATGAAGGCAAATCAACTTTTGAAGGAGTTTAAACGAAATTCCCAGTTTGAGCTCACGTTCAACCCTATGGACTTCAAGAATGCAGGCATAATGGTGATCATGGATGCCTCATTGGGTAACGTAACCAAAGCTGGGGGGGCAAATGGCGAGATCACCGAGAAGGTCTATTCGCAGAGTGCTTACTTCGTTTTGGTGGCAGACCAAGACCTTCTTTCAGGAAAGGAAGGTAAGTTTGCAGTGCTGGACGCGCGATCACATCGGATCCCGCGAGTGTGCCGATCCACCTTTGGCGCAGAGTTGCTGAGCACTGAGGAAGCCTTCGACGTCGGTGTATACTGCAGAGGACTGCTTGCAATCATGAAAGGGTATCCAATGTCCGGTCGCCATACGGAAGCCATGATGGACGCAATTCCTCTGATTGGCATCACGGACTGCAAGGATGTGTACGGCAAGAACACGTCCGATACCCCATCTTATGGTTCGCAGAAGAGTTTGTCCTTTACCATTGCATGGCTGCGAGCTACGCTTGGTCGTCCCAACACGTCATTGCGTTGGACGGCGACGGAGAACATGTGGGTAGATGCAGGAACAAAGGATATGAATCTGGATCACATGCATCGCATCTTGGCTTCAGGCAAATGGAGCTACGTGTTCAACCAAGAGTTTGTCAAGCAGACCATCAAGAAGAAGAAGCCTGCTACTACGAGTGAGAGTGGCCCAATCTTGATAGGTGAATTGCTGACGGAATCGTCCCTGGTGTATCCTCATTTGCACCAACTTAGTTGTAGTCCTGGTTGGCATTGTAGAGATGGCATAGTTTTGCATGTAGCCCAGAACGCAAAGTCTTTTAGGACACCCACTGGGAGGTTTAAGGTTGACGATTTCCCCATCAGAACCACATATGCTCGTTTTGATGACCCCACGGGAACCTCGCAGTGGCGCATGCTTGAAACCGGAGTCGATTTGAAAACTCTGAAGAATTCTCAGGCCCTGATTGGACACGATGCTGGAGTGCTCATTTCTGTTTTTCGGTCTCGATCTCTTGCAAAAGAAGAAGATAATCAGCTGAGAAATGCAGCTGTTGTCAAGGATCTGACCTGCAGGTGAGCTGTGCATCTCCATCGCATCTTGGTTCAAAGGCCTAACGCCAGTTGTGCTACGCAATCAGCTCATGGAAAAGGCTGCCAGTCGCTGCTTTGCACTTTGAGCGACTTCAATATATATATATATACACAATATACAGACACTATATATATATATATACACTAATACACTATATGCATACACAATAGAGTACCCACCCGGAATACCCTCTGTTGGTATTTGCAGTGTTTTCATACTATTTTGGTGGTTTATTTTTGTGAGAAGATTTTCTTGTAAAGGGGGATGCTTCTTTTCAAGGAATCCTACACTCTCTGAATGAAAGTGTTTGTTCAAAACACATGTCAGTTAGATGTACTTCTTAAAGAGAAACATTCAATTTCTTCAATGTAAACTACAGTTTTAGACGGCATGCAATTTCCATTGAAGAAATGCTGCACCAATTTGAAGAATGCCCTGTATGTTGCAAACACATTTTACATACGGCTTCCTTCAAGAAATGGTGTGCTTTCTGACTTGAGGATGTGCTGATACTTTTTGAAACTGAGAGTGTGTACTTACTTTGTTTGTCAAAAGACAAACGCTACCTCTTTGAGATGAACTGTGCTCCTTTTGAATGGAGTGCTACCTAATGCTACCTATTGAAATGGAATGAGTTTTCAAGGAATGCTGCACCCTTTGAATGAAAGTGCCTGCTGAAGAATCCTGCTTTTGTGACTGGAATTATGTCTTCAAAATAATGCTACAATCCAGGAAATATCAGTTCATGTGAAGATGTATTGCATTTATTTGAATAATGTCCTTTGCTTTTTTACAGAACACGTTGCAAAATACAGCTTTCTTCTAGGAATGGTG